ATCCAAGCGTCACATGACAGAGCTCGAGAACAGCTTGGAAAAAGCGCTAGAAGACAGAAACTGAATTACAACAAGAGGACGTGCAAGGAGGTGTACTTGCCAGGCCAGTTTGCCTGGAAGTATAACCCTGCAAAGAAGAAGGGAATCTCGCCCAAACTACAATGTCGGTGGGAAGGCCCATATCTGATTCAAGACAAACTTTCAGATGTAACGTTCCGGATTCAAAAGCGGCCTGGAGGAAAAACTGAAGTCATCCACTGTGACAGACTGAAACCATACAAGGGGAAACCACTAGATCCCTGGAAACGTGCACGGCCTGGAAGGGCTGAGTCGCTGGACCATCCCGAGGGGGCTGAGTCGCTGGACCATCCCGAAGAGGCTGAGTCGCTGGACCATCCCGAAGGGGCTGAGTCGCAGGACCTTCCTAAAGGGTTTGAGTCGCAGGACCTGCCTAAAGGGGCTGAGTCGCTGGACCTTCCCGAAGAGGTTGAGTCGCTGGACCTGCCTGAAGGGGCTGAGTCGCAGGACCTGCCTGAAGGGGCTGAGTCGCAGGGCCTGCCTATTGGGGCTGAGTCGCAGGACCTACCTGGATGGGCTAAGACACAAGATCTGCCTGAAGGGTCTACGTCAGGAAAGGCCAAAAAGGCCAATTCACAAAACCAGCAAAATAGGGAAGACATACAGCATTCTGAAAGGCTAGAAACGCATGGGCAGTCGAAGGAGAAAGGGTTTAATATTGCTCCCCAAGGAATGGGTTCGGTGGGAAGAAGGAATCCTAAGAGGGAACGTAAGCGCCCCAAACGATACCTGGAGTAAGGGTAGTATAGTGGGAAAGATTTGCACTCGCCATTTTGATAATAACAAATGCCATATTTTTGTTTTAATTTTGTCTTACTAGATGGACAAACGGGACGAGTTCGTCAAGCCAAAAGACTGGCACGAGGTGAAGATCCTTCGCTGCAACGTTTGTGGCGAATCATTTGTATACAAGAAGAGCTTGGAGAAGCATGCGCAGATGCATGAAACTAAGATAATGTTCTTCTGCAATCTTTGTGAACGTCATTACACTCGGAAGGACAACTTAAGAGCCCACTACCGTGAGCACCATCCGTCAGCCGTGGATGAGGTGGCGGACATTCCTGCAGAAACCACGGACGAAAGACACCACAGGATGAGTAAGGATAAACAGGATACAGCACTGAAGTCGAGAGAGGGTAGGAAGGGTACACACACGGAGACCAGACCACCTAGGGAAGTATCAAAAACTCCAACTCAAGTACCCCAGGCCGGATCTAAGCGGAAGCAGTCAGAGCCGCGGGAGCAACCAGATCCGAAGAAACGCCAGAACACACCAAGGAGGAAGGACAAGACACCTCCAACGACTCCAAAAGATTCTCCAAGGAAAGCGGCAAGTGGCATCAACCAGAATCCAAGTACCCCGGAACACTTGATCTCTCTATCCCCTGCATCAAATTCCCTGATTCACCAATGCCAAAGCAACGAGGTTCCTGCTGTTCCTTGTGTTCCTGTCCGGGGGAAACCCAGAGGCATGCTACAACTGCTTGCGAACGACTTGGAGACGAGCAGCGACAGTGAGGACAGCCTCGACTTACAGATAAATAGTAAGTCCAAGAGCCAGGAGAGCGAAGGAAGCCTGTCACCTGAGCATGTGTCTACTCGAGTAGATGTAGGCCGAGTATTGAAGGGAAGTAGGCTGAAACTGCTGAGTAGTTCTGAACAGTCAAGACGTCAGCTGGAAGCCAAGCCAGCATCTGCAAGGATGTATAAAGTTGATGGTGACCCAGGTGCCACTGCAAAGCCAGCTTCTACGACCGACTTGGAGAGGATGATGGTGGGTAGGGTGCAGCGACTGCAAGAAGTTTCGACACGCAGCATCTTCCATGGTGGGGTCAAGATCTCAGAAGAAATAACAGAAAGGATCTACGACGTGACCTTCGAAGCCGGTTTTGTTTTTGATTAAAGATAGCTCGTTCGCCGAAACTTGATCACATTAAGGATATTTTTATAACTTGTAGTTTGTTTGTAGTTTGAAGTTGATTATGTTTATTTTCTTTACCTTTTGTGAAATAACTTAAGCAAGTTAACTCTCGCATTTTGCGAAAGCAGAGTCTTTATTTTTGTAAACTTATATGAAGAAGTGTCACCAACGATCAATGTGTGCGATATTACTGCAGTAGGTAACTGTGTAAAGAAGAAACCTTTTGTATTCAAGATTGTGCCTTATTATTGCCTGTTGTGATCTTTAAGATGTTTATTAGAAAGAAGTAGAAGAAAAAGTTGCACTGTTTAAATGTTATCTAGTTTATGTAAACATCTTGTTACATTTTTATGAAGTCGCTAGGAGAGAAGTTTTATTACTGTTTACGTTGAGGAAAGATTTGCCTTCAGGTCAGGAAGTTTATATTCAAGATTTACCTTTCGATTACCTTTAAGTAAACCCCAGAAGAGTGGCTTGTACTTTATTTTTGATATAGATCGTTTATTATCTAGTGCCTTAAGTGAGTGTCCTTAAGGAGACCTTAAGGATTGCCTTTGCAGTCAAGGCGCCTTATATTTGTATAAAGTTAAAACATTTGTTTTATATTGTATAAGACGAGCGCCTTCTTCATTTCGTTTTGAAGTTGTATTAGTTTTAAAGACCGGGACGGTCTGAACTTGAGAGGGGGGCTGTGTAACGAAATGTATTCGGCGCTCCATACTTTTTATATGTTTCGTTTGCCCGCCATAGCTTTTGCGCTATTTTTAGAATGGGGTATATAAGGCAGCGTTCGCGCGCATTCTGGCCAGACTGTTTTGGCGCGCCGTAGAGTGGCAGACTAAGAAAAGCATCGTGGAGACAGACAGAGTGTTGTGTCGGGGAGTGACCGCAAATCTTACCGTGAGTGTTGAGCTGCTGTATTGTTAATGTTACACACTCCTTTTCTTTTATACATGTAAGTAGTGGTGCAATTGTGGAATTGATCCTTGGATTTACTTGATTAAGTGAAGCTTAATACTCGTTCGATTGAAGACAGCATATTTGGGTTTATTATTGTCACCTCTGTGCAGGAATTCTCCATTTGCATTCGTAGACATACTTGACAGATCTTTGTGAAGCACTTTTATTGTTGACTATCGATAAGAACATCTCTTTCCCTTAAGGAAATCCTTTCCCTTAAGGAAACCATTTCCCTTTAAGAAACTCATTTTCCCTTACGGAAACCCTTTCCCTAAAGTAAATCCATTCCCTTAAGAAACCTCCTTTCCCTTACGGAAACCCCTTCCCTTAAGTAAACCCTTTCCCTTGGGAGCCCATTTCCTAACGTATCGGGATCGACAACTGCCTCGCGGGAGACGAAGGGTCGAGCTCATCAGGAGGATCGGCATCTGCCTTCGGGAGACCTCGGAGGGTCGTCTGGAGCCTAGGAAACCCCCTTCCTTGACAAACTCCCTTTCCCTTAAGGAAATCCATTCCCTTAAGAAACCCCCTTTCCCTTACGGAAACCCCTTCCCTTAAGTAAACCCTTTCCCTTGGGAGCCCATTTCCTAACGTATCGGGATCGACAACTGCCTCGCGGGAGACGAAGGGTCGAGCTCATCAGGAGGATCGGCATCTGCCTTCGGGAGACCTCGGAGGGTCGTCTGGAGCCTAGGAAACCCCCTTCCTTGAGAAACTCCCTTTCCCTTAAGGAAATCCCTTCCCTTAAGAAGCCCCTTCCCTTAAAGAACTCCCTTTCCCTTAAGGAAACCCCCTTTCTTGAGGAACCCATTTCTAAGGTATCCGGAATGACAACTGCCTTGCGGGAGACGAAGGGTCGAGCTCATCAGGAGGATCGGCATCTGCCTTCGGGAGACCTCGGAGGGTCGTCTGGAGCCTAGGAAACCCCCTTCCTTGAGAAACTCCCTTTCCCTTTAGGAAATCCTTTCCCTTAAGGAAACCCTTCCCCTTAAGGAAACCCTTCCCCTTAAGGAAACCCTTCCCCTTAAGGAAACCCCCATCTTTTTAAGAACTTGCCTTTTGTTGAGGCATTTTTAGTAAAGCAACTGCAGTTGTTGCATGGCTGAATAAAGAGACTTCTTTAAGCTTTAGCTTGTGTGTCTGGGTCCCACTTATTGTCTGGTTGGGTAGATTTATCGTTCGAACAAGATAAGGGAAAATTAGTTACGTGCGGCGACAGACAGTCTCCAAACGGATTATCGCCCTAGGACCATCTGGACTGCCGCTCGTCTGGAGGGTTCTCGAGACCGTCACTTCTCGAGAAAATCGAGATCCGCCACACTACGTTTGGCTGGGTTCTAGCAAACATACCCTGGAGGGTTAGGGTTAATACCACTTAGAGTCTGGGTGCTGATAATTACCCGAGCCGGAGGCGAGGGTAATTATCAGCACCCAGACTCTAAGTGGTATTAAACAGAGTGATAAATACCGACGGAGTACATATTTATTCCCATTCATAAATACCTTTTCGGTAAAAAAAAATCATATAATTCGTTCAAAACATCCCGATTTTGTTCAACAAATTCACTTTATGCTTTTTGAATCATCCCTCCTGCAAAATAATGGAGTGTTCAGCTGGCGAGTAAGATGAAAACAACCCTTTTATGGAGATTGACGCGCGCATATCATGTTCTATGCGATGTCGCGCAGAACGCACCTGGCGCGTTGCGTTTTGAATTTAGAACTATAAAATTCTAACTCCCTGGTAATGTTGCGCATGCCGACGTGAGGATTGTGAACGTTCAACCAATTAAACGATAAGAGGCACTGGATTTTTAGGAGTCCACATTTTATTGTGACACTGGAAAAGTGTTTAAGACCAGCTAGCCATGTCTTTATCATCCGTTTAATACCGGCCACGTGACGGGCTCTCGACCAATAGGAATGGCTAAACTGTCTGAGGTATTTATGAATACAAGATCAAAATGCACACTGCCATTATTTGAGTCTATAATGAAGCTGTGCTGTGGCGCACACTAGAGCAAGCCTCCATTTTCCATACCTGGGCTACTCCTTCGTCCCAGCCTCTGATGACCTGTCCCTGTCCAATTTTGAACTCGAACAGCTTACCGCGATCCCGAGACGAATCAAATTTTTTACCATTTGTTAAGGTTCCTGATGGAATGAAACAATTTTTAAAAACAAATTAAAAAACAGCCTGTGATTTAAATTTCCTTAAAACAACTTTCCCTCACATGCTGCTTTCACCGCTGGGTGGCTTGCAATATGGAGAAAGTCTCTAGTATTTGATCCACACTACTGGGCTAGACCCATGAAATGATTACTTTTAATGCTATTCTTGAAAATGCACCTTTGTATCCCATTAACCCTAACCACCCTGAATCCTTCAAAATCCTCTTTGCCAAAGTGGAGGAATTTGAAGGATTGAGGTTACATGACGTTACTGATTTCGTAGGAGGCACTTTGTCAAGGTCTTTGGCCGGACCTTGTGTTGTTTTTGCTCAGCCATGCATAAATATAGGCCTGGATTATGCTTGCAATCCTCCGTACTGCTCCAGGATGTCACTGGCCAAGCCTCAACATATCGACAGTCATTGCCGCAGGATTCAGGCAGTGGTCACCCCTCCACGGACCATTTTCAAGAAATAATGGAGGAGTTTGCAGGATTGAGGCTATGTGCTGCTTTGCATGAGGCCAATTGGAGGATTTTGCTTGATTGAGACTACATCCTAGCAAAAAGGCCTAGGGAGTTAGGGTTAAACCTCATTTTCAATTTTCATTTTGCCATTTTCAAGGGTATCTTGGTGCCTTTTTAGTTTTATGCTAACACTAATACCATATTGATGAACAAAACTGTGATGTCATATCAGGCAGAAACCTCAATGTTGCAATTAGTTTGTGTACAAAAAGTTGCTAACAATTCTGGACATTTCACGGTCGTAAATTTTGTTCAGTTCATGACAGTATTATGAACACACTTTTCCCACAAATGTTTTAACCCTAACGTACTACAGAATACTACATGTGTTGAGCACACTTGTATGGAAAGAAATGCATACTATAGGTTACTACTCAGTTGTAATTTGTAGCTTTAGGTGAGGTTTGGGTTCAGATGAGAACATTTTGGGGTTCACAATTTCAACAAAAAAACACCTAATATGAACAATGTCTTCCTGAAATGACATCACGGAAACAGCGCCCTCAGTTGTCTAGAAAGGCATGGAAAATTATAAATGTTTAAAAGAAGTCACTTTTCATTAGGGATAGAGCATACACCTACCAGTATAATGCACCTTCACGGTTTGACCTTTCTTGGGAAAGTTTTTCCCTGAAATGAGAAGAATAAAGGTGAAAAATCAAGAAGATATAACTCGATATTCAATCAGCAACTGAATATTCAAACAGGTTTCTGCTGGTTTGAATATTCAGAAAGAAATAATTATGCACGTGCAGCCGTGTCACTTTACTCGTAAGGCCAAAAAAAAGTCTCCGGTTTCTGGTATGGAGCTTGCCCAAAAAGTGTTGCGGCAACGCGGCTTTTTTTTTTTTTTTTACCTGATTTTTTTGCTTCAAATGTCGGCTGATGACTGCAAATGGTGCCCGACTAAACTTAGTGCAAATATATGGCAGTCCAGAGAGGCCACATAAAGCTTATTCTCGACCATAACCCAATCTAAAAACACGTTAAAATTGTGCAGCAGCAGGATTCCAGTCACTAGTGAGTTTGGCGGTTTTGAGACATCATCTTTCATTGAAAAAAAAACGTTTTCATTTTGCCGACACGCATGGCTACAGCGACGCGCGCGCATACCAGAAACCGGAGACTTTTTTTTTTTGGCCTAAAGTTGTTTTTTTTTTTATGTCAGATGCCACATTTTTGTCAACTGTAACTTTTTATCTTGGTTTTTTTTATCGATTCGTTATTCATTTACCATTCATTATTGCACTGGGGCAAGGAAATATTTTTGGGGAAGGGCAGTCAAAATAAAATCTTAAGCCTGTGTGCGTTCGTGTGTGCCCATTGTTAATGGTCCAGAAATAAGCTAGAGTGTAGTGTAGTCGCTTTTAATGGATGAGAAATGCATGCAACCGCAGAATGGTATACACCAAATGTATGACGAAAGGACAAGGACGTTGGCTGCGTAATCTATACGGCTGTATAAATGCAATTATGGCGTGTTTTGTATGAGGTGAAATATAAAAAATCATGTTTAGCGTCCCCGCCCACTTTCTTTTTGGAGGCTGCCTCTTTTTCTTTTTTTTATTGGAAAAAAACCTGAAAAAAAAATATAAATTTAATGATGTTTTTCCCGACAAACATTGTTGTACTTTTAGACTTTAAAACTGGTATGCCACTGCCCGAGTCCAAGTGGTGGTCATTTTTAACAAAAGCTGGCGGCATCTTTTCAAAACAGTCGTTTTGGAAAATGGGTCAGGCGGCCATTTTGGAAGAAAAAAAAATGGCCTCCTTCCTTTTTTTTCAAAATGGCAGGACACTAAACATTTCTTTTTATTTGGAAAAATGTGAAGTACAAATGTGATGCAATCAAGCTACATGAGTCGTTTGTCGACCCTGGTCAAAAAAAATTTATTCGAGATTTGGAAAGAGCACAATCTCAGCATTACTGCTGTGAAAACCGCATGCTGAAACCATCTTTAGTTATAAAATTATTGAAGTTGTAACACCAAGAGATGTGATGAAGCGATGTGATGAAGTGGTCCTATTTTGGCCTGAATCTCTAAATAAAAATTCCCGACAAACGACTCATTTAGCATCACAAATGTTTACACCGTAATTTTCGGAATATAAGCCGTGCGGCGTATAAGCCGCAGCATGCAAAAATCTGCAAATTAAGATTTGAAGTCGGCGTATAAGCCACACCGGCGTATAAGCTGCACCGACCACAGTGGTTTCAATTTTGAAAGGCCTCTAAATTCTAGTCAAAATGCTCTGAACCAGTTCCATTTACACTACGAAAACTATAACAAGGGCCACAAAAGTTATATCAAATCATTTACAGTCGATAGGTATACTCTTAAAAACAAAATATGGAAATTGATGATGAGAATTAAACACCGGGAATTGCTGCCGGCTGGCCCGTCCGGTCCCTGGCCTTAAAAGTTAGCGCATGGCCCGGCAGCATGTGCCGGCGAATGACAACATTTTCCCCCAGCACTTGAGAGAGTATGCAACCCACCATGTGTCGTCTGACTGGAGTGCTACAAATCTTGCTTTGTGGCAACAGATGCTGATTTGTTTTGTCCTAAGAATAAACAGGTCCCTTTTTACAACAGTAGTTATCAAATTGTTGTTATTACTAATGAGTAGTAACGTCAAAAATTCAAGTTTCGATCGTATTTTCTTCGAAAACAGTCAACACGATGCTGACATTTTTATGGACGAATCCATTAATTTCGTAAGGGGTGATTTAGCCCCTGTTTTGAGTTTTAAATCGTTTCTTTAATACTTTTCAAGAAAAAAAAATATTGTGACGTTGAACAACTGAATATCGAATAGAGAAATGTTTCGAACTCCATAAAAAAGTATTGGTTGTCTTTTTTCTTTTTTAAAACAGTGGAAATATTGGTAATTATTGTTCCCAAGAAAGTGCACCCCTTTATTACCACAAATGGTGTGGTCTGCATGGGGCCGGGAATACAGCACATGCAGCACTAGCAGCAGTATCACGTACGGTGGGTCGCAAGCAGCATCGCGTCGAAGAGACCGTGAGCTTTCACTCATGCATTATGGCTGCGCCAGCTGGCCTGTACTTTTACCACTCGGTACCTTTTCGTGGGACGTGCTTTTTGGTTTATTAATGACTTTATTAATTGATAGGGCCTAATTCATTTCAGCAACAGATGTTTCTTATACCAGTACATTAAATAAAAATGTAAATTTATGCCATTTTTATTCTTCAAGGTTCGGCGTATAAGCCGCTCTGTGTATAAGCCACAGTAAACATTTTCATGGGCAAATTCAACGTATAAGCCGCGGCTAAAATTCCGAAAATTACGGTAATGCTTTCATTGGCCAAAAGATGCGTCCACATTTTATGGATCTTAACATGCTTAACCTGTTAAACAGGGAAGAAAATACACAATTAAAATATTTGTCGATACAGGGCTGGCTTTACAGTGGCTTATGGGTTGTCATTAGCTTGAAATATCAAGCTCACAAGGCTAATGACTCCCATTGTCACGTGCGTCATGACTCATGAGCTGGATATTTCAAGTTACATTGTAGGTTGACATTTTTCAGTTCGAAGTGGCTATCGTTATGTCAGCTGTAATGCAATTTTCAAATACATGTCCTATTGTTATGGCATTGTAAAAGCACAATGCGACCCATCCCAACAGAACGCTTTGGTAGCTGGAGTGGTAACAAGTTTGATTATTGAGCCAGGGAGCCTGGTTCGAAACCCCTGGCCCTGCTGCATACTAGCTTGAGAAACTCCAGCTCCAATGCTCATCAGGAATTCGACATTTAGAGATGGAGGTCAATGTACGTTGTAGCCAGTGGTCTAAAAATGGCAGAGGCCGTGAAATTTGGCCTCAAGACAGCAGCCGAAATCATCATTTTTTTTTTATATTTTAGTCAATTTTGTTCCGTTTCAACTTCTAGTCAATCCTTTGATACGTGGATCATTCATAAATCATTCGACTTGAAACAGAACAAAACTTAGTAAAATATGAATAAAAAATGATGATTTCGGTGATTGTGTTGGGGCCAGATTTCACGGCCTCCGAGGCTCCGCCATCTTCGATCCGCTATGCAAAATGAATTTTCCATGCCAGCGTTAATTGTCGAATTCCCGATGAGCATTGGACAATGTTGGAGCTGGAGTTTCTCAAGCTAGCCGCATATATCCTCGAATCACCATAATTGGCGCAGGTAACGCTTGCAAAGCGCACACGTTGTCCAACATTTGTCCAACGCAAATTGAATGCGAGAGCATCAAAATAGGATGTCAATTAAGGGGGTCTGACGATACGTGGACTAGGTCTAAGGCCTACTCACTTTAAAAAAAATAGATTTCAGGTTTTTTTTAATCAAATAGTTCTTTTCATTAAAGTCAAATCACTGGTTTTGCAGGATTTTTTGAAAAAGGGAAATAAAATTAAAATCTGAGAACCATTAATTTGGTTGACATTCTGGTTCCAACAGCCAGAGTGGGGTCTTTCTACTCCTAGAACTATGAGGCACCACGTAGTGGAGCGTGGAGCCTCATAGTTCTAGGAGTAGGGTCTTTCCCCCAAGACTGTGAGTGTGAATAAAAATATTACGTCGGGGAACCACACAGTTCCGTAACGATAGCACTATGTATATATTAGCAGTTGAAAATCGCGTTACGGCTGCCGTATTCATAGCCACTGCCGCGTTATCCGTTTCTAATTCTGAACACTTGACCTCAACAAAATCCTACTTTCCCCCAAGAAAACAACTGTGAGTGACGTGAAGCAGCTAGGCTTTGTGAGTTTCAACATCTTACCATCTCCTGGTGTAATAGTTTCAACTTCCACACCCATTCTGAAAACGGTATTATTAGCAAGAAATCTTCACGATTTTTGCCTACGGAAGTCGCGACCTCGATCGTCTGTTGCCAGAAGACGTGCTGCCAGACGACGATGCAGTAAATGCATGCAATTAAGGCGTTTTAGTCAGCAAACCTGCACAATGCATGCACCAGAGTGAACCTGGCCGCGTATTCGGCCAGATACCACAGCCGCGTATTCAGCCGCGTATTCATGAAGTACGGAGGCCAATAAACAACATTATTGATGTGATAAATTTTTGATATTTAATGCGGATTTCATCAAGATGTGTTCCTAAAATGAAGGACGTCAGAATTGATGGTCAGTTATTGAGGACTAAAGGCTTCCTATAAATTATTTTGGTTTCAGATCTAGAGCAGCTATGAATCACGTGATACTCGTCCTGTGAAAATTCGTACTAAAATTGCGATTAAACAACATTATGCCTAATTTCGAGACAAAGTGTATCAAACAGTGTAGGAGAAGCACTGCTTCTCCTACACTGTTTGGTACACTTTGCAGCGGGACACCACTCTTTAAGATGTCATTTGCGATTCGACTGCTTCTGAAGCAGTCGAATCGCAAATGACATTTTAAAGAGTGGTGTCCCGCCTGCACTCTATTTTGGTTTCAGCTGTATAAAATGCATCTGTCACGTGATAATGGTAAGTACAAAATGGGCTTTCACCGCCAAATTCATTTTTTTTTTATATATTTAATGCGGATTTAAGCAAAAAGTGTACCGACAAACCAACAGGTCAGAATTACGTTTGATGGTCAGTTAGGGGCAGATTCACAATTAAACAGGCGGTTCTTCTGTGTTAACCGCAATAAACCGGGCGGTACCGTGCGGTACCGTGCGGTAAACCTCCAGGTTTTTCGGGGTTGGACGTCAATGTATATCATGAATATTCTCCTCCAGTGCGGGGTCAACTTCAGCTCAGTCCACCCAGGTTATTGCGAACAAAAGAAGCAGGTTGATTGGGACACTTTGATGCACAAACGGCTTCGTCAGTAGTCGACCCTGTATTAGAAGTACGTTAGAAGATTACAGGATAAGTGGTCACGCTTGTGGGGTTTTATGACGTTAAATATATTTATTAAAAAAAAGCACCATATTTGCAACTATATAGAGATAAGAGTTGAATTACATTTGGAATTAAATGGTTTTATTCATAATCTGTTGCAGCCATACGCCGCATTACTGGAATATTTATGATAAAACATAAACATTTACATAAAGTCCATTCACGTTGAAACAATTAATATAGCATTACAAAAACAATGAAAAAGACAAATCTAAAAAGATAAAAGCCGACGAGATACTACAACTACTGTATTATCCTTAAATTTGCTTTGAAGCGATAAAAACACACTAAGGTTATGAAATTGTAAAACGTTAAGAATGTATATGTCTTAAAATTCCTTTATACCAACGGGTGTCTCTTTTAAAAGTAAACGCATTCAATTACTTATCTTATTTGCAAACATTTCTATTTCTTTCGAAAAATATACAAATATATTGACTTTACATTTACGATTACATCAGCTAGTTATTCACGTGAGAGGCGGGCCATTTTATACACCAACAGCAAAACATAAAGTTTCAATTCCTTATGTACCTTTCACTTTATAAGTATGTGCTAAAAGTCGCTGTGATATGTTCAATACTTTTCGTTGAAATTGGAAAAATAGGCCTCGCTACGTGCAATTTTGAAAATTGTAACACAATATTTAACTAAGCATTAAAGGTAATTCTGACGTGATGCATTTTAGGTACACTTTTTGATGAAATCCTCATTTAAATAGTGAATTTGGCGGTGAAAGCCCATTTTGTATTGCCATTTATCACGTGACATAATTATGCACCTCATACACCTGTAACCAAAATAAAGTGTGTGTGTGTGTGGGGGGGGGGGGGGTCACCTTTCTCCAAGATGTCATCGGCAATTTGACTGCTTCTACTACACTGTTTGGTACACTTTGTCTCAAAGTTAGGTATAATGTTGTTTAACCGCAAAATGCTATTTTTAGTACGAATTTTCCCAGGACGAGTATCACGTGATTCATAGCTGTCCTAGATCTTAAACCAAATAATCTATGGGCAACCTCTTCTCCTCAATAACTCACCAACGAACATAATACTGGCGTGTTGCATTTTCGGTGCACTTTTTGCTCAAATCCGCATTAAATATATAAAAAAGTGAAATTCAAGGCGGTGAAAGCCCATTTTGTTATGCTATTGATCACGTGACGGATCCATCTCATACAGCTGAAACCAAATTAGAGTGCAGGCGGGACACCACTCTTTAAGATGCCATCGGCAATTTGACTGCTTCTCCTACATTGTTTGGTGCACTTTGTCTCAAAGTTAGACTTATTGCTGTTAAACCGCAAAATGCTATTCTTAGTACGAATTTTACCAGGACGAGTATCACGTGATTCATAGCTGCCCTAGATCTGAAACCAAAATAATTTATAGGAAGCCTCTAGTCCTCAATATTAAACTCACCCATCAAACATAACACTGACGTTCTTCATTTTAGGTACACTTCTTGATGAAATCCGCATTAAATATCAAAAATTTACCACAGCAATACTGATGTTTATTGGCCTCCGTACTTTATGAATACGCGGCAGTATACACGGCTGAATACGCGGCTGTGGTATCTGGCCGAATACGCGGCCAGGTTCACTCAGGATGTTATTTTTATCACGTTCATAAAGAAATAATCCTCGGTAATACGGTGAGCTAAAGGTCGGATTTCTGTTTTCAGTTGTACAATTATATAAGCTTTCAATAACTATTTAACCAAGAGATTCGAGTACGTCATACATTTTGAATTATCATGTCATAATTTGCGTATGAATATAAAGAGTTAGACTGTTGTTAGTCTGGCGCACCCTACCCAACTTCGTCCCAAGGGTGTCGAGCAGTACGCGCCCATCACTACCTGCTCTCTCACGTGATCGGCTGACTGATAAGGTTTACGCACAAAACTGTATCTAGAAAGGTGGGCGAATATGAAGCCCGGGAAGGGACAGGGTGGAAATTCTTTTTGGCATTTGCTAAATCGTTCGCACGAATTAGTAATTCGTTCGCACGAATTAGTAATTCATTCGCACGAATTAGTAATTCGTGGGAACGAATTAGTAATTCGTGGGAACGAATTAGTTCCCACGAATTAGTAATTCGTTCCCACGAATTAGGAATTCGTGCGAACGAAATAGCAATTTGTGCGAACGAAATAGTAATTCGTGCGCACGAATTAGGAATTCGTGCGAACGAATTAGCAAATGCCAAAAAAAAATTCCACCCTGTCCCTTCCCGGGCTTCATAATAATAAGGGAATAAATGTGTGCTCCGGAGGTTTTTATCACTCATTTAATACCGCTTAGAGTCTGGGTGCTGATAATTACCCGAGCCGGAGGCGAGGGTAATTATCAGCACCCAGACTCTAAGCAGTATTAAACAGAGTGATAAATACCGACTGAGCACATATTTATTCCCATTCATAAATACCTTATCCGTAAAAAAATATCAAATAATTCGTTCAAAAAATCCCGATTTTGTTCAACAAGTTCACTTCATGCTTTTTGAAACATCCCTCTAGCAAAATAATGGAGTGTTCAGCTGGCGAGTAAGATGTAAACAACCCTTTTATGGACAACGCGCGCGTAGCATGTTCTGCGCGGTGTCACGCAGAACGCACCTGGGGCGTTGCGTTTTGAATTTAGAACTATAAAATTCTGACTCGCTTGTAGTGTTGCGCATGCCTACGTGAGGATTGTGAACGTTCAACCAATGAAACGGTAAGAGGCACTGGATTTTTAGGAGTCCACATTTTATTGTGACACTGGACAAGTGTTTAAGACCAGCTAGCCATGTCTTTATCATCCGTTTAATACCGGCCACGTGACGGGCTCTCGACCAATAGGAATAGCTAAACTGTCTGAGGTATTTATGAATGCGTATTAACACCCACTGCACTGCTCGCTCACACCACGGAACAGTATTATAGACAGGTGGTCCGTGGGTCACACAGTTTCAGTCGCGATATCACGCGAATCGGCCACGCACAAACTTTTTCCTCCATTCATATAAGCTAAATACTAATAATAGACCAATTAAAATTCCTTGAAATCAGTGGCGTATAGCCACTGGGGGCGTGGGGCGACAGCCCCCCCCCCAATGAAACCTTGTCGCCCCCCAGTCGCCCCCCCCCCCCCCCCCACTGAGATTTTGAGTTTCTAAAAAAATAATCATTGATCTACATGACGCCATGGGCGTCAATCCTGGGGGGACAGGGGGACTGGTCACCCCCCCCCCCCACTTTTTGAAGGGTGGGGGACACAATATCAAATGTCCCCCCCCCCCCAGGATTTTTGAACTCGTGTCTCATTTACAGGGCCCTATTATGTACTACAATGTATCTTTTGCTTAGAAAATATTGGTTAAAGTGGTCAGAAATTGCCTCAGAAAGCACCACAGAGCATTTAGAATCCAAAATTTTTCGGGGCCCTTAAGCGGGCCCCGAACCCCACGCCTAAAACTTAGAATTCTGATAGCTGATTCAATGACTCCAACCTCGAAAACAATGCTCAAAAATTTTTCTTATGCCTTTAGCTGAGAAAACCTCGAAAATTATGTTTAAATTATTATCTTTTGTGCTTAGATAATTATTGGTTAAAGTGGTAAGAAATTGCCTCAGATCACACCACAGAGCATCGAGAATCCAATTTTTTCGGGGCCCTTAAGCGGGCCCCGAACCCCACGCCTATAGCTCAGAATACCGATAGCTGATTCAATGACTCCAACCTCGAAAACGATGTTCAAATAACTATCTTTTGCTAAGAAAATATTAGTTAAAGCATGCAGGAAAGTGGTAAGAAATTGCTTCAGATCACACCACAGAACATCTAGAATCCCATTTTTTTCGGGGCCCTTAAGCGGGCCCCGAACCCCACGCCGTAAGGGCTTCGCGCTTCGCGCTCGCATCAGTTCTGATCAAGGTATGTCAAGAAAAAGAGGCCGTGGAGTCTTATTGCTATTGTGGCGAATCTCGATTTCCTCGAGTGTTAGACGGTCTCGAGGACCCTCCAGACGCTCAGTCCAGATGGTCTTAGGGCGATAATCCGTTTGGAGACTGTCTGTCGCCGGGCCACGCGTAACTAATTTTCCCTTTGACGACAATGATCTACCTAACCAGACAAAAAAATGGGGCCCAGACACAGTAAGCTCAAGCTTCAAGAAGTCTCTTTTTACTCAGCCATGCAACAACTGATATGTCCTTATTAAGCTAAAATTCCTCACGAAAAGGTAAGCACTTAAAAGATGGAGTTTCCTTAAGGGCAGGGGTTTCTTAAGGGAAAGGAGTACCTTAAGGGAAGCGGTTCTTAAGGGCAAGGGAGTTTCTCAAGGAAGGGGGTTTCCTAGGCTCCAGACGACCCTCCGAGGTCTCCCGAAGGCAGATGCCGATCCTCCTGCTGAGCTCGACCCTTCGTCTCCCGCTAGGCAGTTTTCTATCCGGATACCTTAGAAAAGGATTCCTCAAAAGAAGGGGTTTCCTCAAGGGAAGGGGTTTCCTTAAGGGAAGGGATTTCCTCGTCTCAAGACGACCCTCCGAGGTCTCTCGAAGGCAAATGCCGATACTCATGATGAGCTCGACCCTTCGTCTCCCGCGAGGCAGTTGTCGTTCCTGATACGTTAGGAAATGGGCTCCCAAGGGAAGGGGTTTCCTTAAGGGAAGGGATTTACTTTGTGCATTTTACAAATATGAATCTGCTTCTGTGTTAGCAGAAAGCAGATGTCCACTTTTGAACCTCGATCCATACATGTACTAGGGTCCAAGCCAAGTACAAGAAGTGGGGTACTACTTTCTGCAACTTTGCGATCCCCCAGCCCCTCCCCCCCCCCGAAATTCAAAAATGTTTCCTTTTTTGTTTTGTTTTTCCGGGAAGGGGGGGGGGGGAATAACGTAAAAACCTTTAACCGAATGCACACATAAGTTTGGTTACGTTCCACAATTCCATTGATTCGAGTGCATGAAAAAATATGAAGCCCGGGAAGGGACAGGGTGGAATTTTTTTTTGGGGAGTTTGCTAATTCGTTCGCACGAATTACCAATTCGTTCGCACGAATTACCAATTCGTTCGCACGAATTACCAATTCGTTCGCACGAATTACTAATTCGTTCGCACGAATTACAAATTCGTTCGCACGAATTAGTAATTCGTGCGAACGAATTAGTAATTCGTTCGAACGAATTACTAATTCGTGGGAACGAATTGGTAATTCGTGCGAACGAATTAGTAATTCGTTCGCACGAATTACTATAGGCCTAATTCGTTCCCACGAATTACTAATTCGTGCGCACGAATTACTTATTCGTTCCCACGAATTGCTAATTCGTTCGCACGAATTAGTAATTCGTGCGAACGAATTAGTAATTCGTGCGAACAAAATAGCAATTCGTGCGAACGAATAAGCAATTCGTGCGAACGAATTAGTAATTCGTGCGAACGAATTAGGAAATTCCAAAAAAAATTCCACCCTGTCCCTTCCCGGGCTTCATAAAAATATTCTTTTGAAAAGGTTCAAGCGACTTCGTCGAAACATTTATACAGAAAAGAAATTATTTAGACAGTATAGGCCTACTTGGCCCCCAATGGAAATTTGTTATAGTCCCATAAATGACGATTGAATATTAACGGGTCAGTAACGCAAACCTCCCTGTATTAATCCCCCCTTCCCCCGCCTTGGTGGAAACCCTGGCTAGGCCGCTAGTCATTGTCTGCTGATCTGATCTGTTTTCTCAGTAAAGGCATCATTTCCAGTATCTCGAAACTATCGTAACCTACCAAATTATGATCAAGAAGCCGACTTGGATATCGCAGGCCTACTGGTACTAAACGCGTAAAATAAAATCCGAATGAAAATCGCTTTTAGCGGCACGGGTGAAGGGAGAAATACCTATTTACTGAACTGAAAGTTCGTTTGTTTCACTTTTTTTGCAAGGGCATTTTACCCGCACACTTTAGTCAACTAAAAATTTGTCGAAAAAAAAGGCGCGCTAAACAAAATACAAATGTAGTCGTCTCGCACGACAACTGGTTCCCGCTTCCATAACATGGGGACCGGTAGCTAGTTCCCATTTAAAGCCATTGATTGGATCGCCTGATCTCAGTAACATTTTTTTTAAAGATTTGATAACGATGTTTACAGCTTTGCACATGGATGACAAAAGAACTTGTCTTTGGTCTCGACGTTTCGACAAGCCTGCTCTAGTCATCGTCAGGATGGCTATCAGGTGTTTTTTTTTGCACTTCTATGCAAAGGGATTTTTAGTCTATGATTTTTTAACAGATCCGCTGATTAATTATGCAAGACAACCGCATCTTGACCTCTAGATTTTGACCAATCAGCGGGCGCTTTCTATATCGGGTCTTCGGTCATTCGCCTGTTGCCCGACTTTTGTTGCATTACGAAACGCTGTATTCGAATTGACTAATCAAACCATTCATTAGTCCTGATTTAGGAATAAAATGACATCACGATTTAGTAAACTCGACTCTGATTGGCTGGCGCGCGGCTTGCATATATCTGCATGCTTAGACATATCAGACGTTATACAGGAGACTGGCTCCGTGGATAACGGGTGATAGACTAGGGGATTTTGCCCGCACAACTGAAATCTCAAAAAAGAGATAACATTAAGAATTCTCTTTATTCTCTTACAAAAATACAATGTGCGAAGACGTGTAGATTTGAAAGATGAAAATAAATCCCTACAATTATCAAGCTGGCAAAATAAATGGCAGTTAGACAAGGCAATGCCAAAACAAACTAAAAATAAAAGAAACCACCATCTTGGCAGTAAGATATGGAAACCCAATTCCTAAAATTCTTTTGTTTGGAAGACTATTACGTATTGTGTAATCTGGTAGACAAAATAAGAAGTCATTTTTTTAGGTGGTGCCGTGCTCATGCGCACACCGCACGTGTTCTTAAAGATGAAGCACACACATTTTGGTAACACTATTGGTGTAAGCATATATATTACCTGTGCCGTGCGCAACTCACGCTCGCCTGGTGCTAACTCAGAAAATGGCTGTCGCCGAAGTACTCTATATGTTTTCCTCGTTTTGGTAACACCCTTAATATAAATACCTAACTGCACAAACACTTATAAAACAATATGAAAAAGAAAAGAGTTTATTTAACAGAAACATTAAAACATTTACAAATGTGATAATACTTTAACAAATATGTTACTTTCTTAGCATGTTATATGCAAATTTTTGGTCTCAAGGTTCAGATGTCCGTGCAAAGTGAACAAAATACATTCACAAGGAACTATCTGTAATATGAGATAGTTGGCACACAAATAAGGGAATACGTGTGCTTGGGAGGTGTTAAACTTTATGTTTAAGACTGGTTGGAGTTGCATGCTGATATTCACATGAGCCAAAGACGAGGGTAATTATCAGCATCAAGACTCCAACCGGTATTAAACAGAGTGTTTAATACCGACCAAGCACATATTTATACCCATTCATGAATACCTTTTCCAAATTAAAACAAGTCAAAGATAAAACAAAACTTTAGCTGTATAATGGAGTGTCCAGCTCATGAGCAAGACGTAAACAAATCCTTTTATGGAGATTGGCATGTGTCGTGGTCGCACATACTGCATGTACTGCGCGATGTCGTGCAGATGCAGCTGTGGTGAGTGCGTTGTGAATTTAGGTCGATGAAATACTGACTCACTAGTAGTATTGCCCATGCCTACGTGAGGATGAACGTTCAACCAATAAAACCATTAAAGGCACTGGATATCATAGGAGTCCAAATTTCCTGTGACACAGGAAAAGTGTTGAAGACTAACCAGCAGCGTTTTAATCATCCGTTTAAGACCGGCCACATGACGGGCTCTCGACCAATGGGAATGTGAAACTGTCTTAGGTATTTATAAATAAAGGAATAAATATGTGCTTGGCCAGTTTTGAACAAGTTCCTTTAACACCAGCTAGGGGCCTGGATGCTGAAAATGTCCCAAACCACAGGCGAGGGACGTTGTCCACAACCAGGCCCCTACAACAAAATATGGCCTACAACTAAAGCTCCTTCAACCCTGGGTCTTTCTAAGCAGATGCAAAGTACATCACAACAATTATTGTTATATCGTGTGCTTGGATACTGTATTTTCATTGGTCTAGGACAGCCACATGTCTGGTCTATAAAAACGTATGTCACACACTGAGGGTGACATCGCATTGCTTCATTGCGCGCATGTGGAACCTGCCGGCGCGCATGTGGAACCTGCCGGCGCGCATGTGGAACCTGCCGGCGCACTAGCTTTGCGCAAACAAACAAGGTATTGGTCAGTAAATGTCCGATGTCTTCACCTAGTTGCACCTTCTGAGGCATTTACGTGTGAAACATCATAATTGGTTGGATGGACAACAGAACATTACTTCAATTTTGAAGTGGTAAATTAAAAATTAATATACATGTAAACCACAATTGGATGTTGCTTCAACACGATCTGGGAGAAAATTGACCCAAATGTCTGACCCTTCAAAACTTACAAACTATCAGTATGCTGGCAAAGCAACTTGAATTAGAGGACTGACAATATCTGGGCTAACACTGGGCTAAGATCTAGGGATGTTTTGACTCCACTTCTGAAAATTTTATGTAATCTCCCATGCAGGCCAAAAGCCCAGTCACCACTGGCGACAACTCTTTAAATGACTTCAACAACTGTTACGGCAACATCGGCTTATATTGCACTGTAAAATGTCCAGTCAAGTCCATGGGCTCCAACACAATAGCACCACGAGAAACAGATGTCATCGTGTATACAAACACTGGCACTAACTCATAAAGAAACCCTGGAAGCCATCATCGCTACGGCCACCTCGTCTGCCACCCCTCCCTCCTCTCCCACGCCCACCTCCAAACCCACCACCAAACCCAAAACCGCCCTCACGTGGTCTATCCCGACTTCCTCCCCTGTACCCCCCTCCCCCATAGCCCCTTCCACCGTCCCTGTTTCTGTAGCCACCGCCGCCGTTTTCTCTCTCCATTGCGCGTTCCTGTTCTTTCTTTTCTTTGTGCCGCTCAAATCTTTCAGCCATTTCCAACAGGTCGTCAGGGATTTCCTGATAAGAGACAATAAGAGAGAGCGGTGAGTATTCACAACTGCTGCATTCAAAGGTTAGGGGTTTCGCATTTGAATGGATACGTCAATGCCTACGTTAAGCTATCAGTAAGTGTTATCGCAAATGCTGCATTCAAAGGTTAAAGAGGGGTTTCGCATCCGAACGGATACATGAACGCCTACGTTGAGCTATCAGTAACCATTATTGACCATTTTGTTGTTGTGCATAATGTCCTAGTTCATCAAATGAAATAGCAAACGTTTCTATACTTAAACGTGGCAAAATGGCCACTGAACCACATTAATTCAAACCGGAATAAACCAGTTCAGTATTCTACAACAGTCCGGTTCCCAACAAGATTCGAAGATTTTTTTCCCCTGGATAAACACTGCAGACAAATGCAAACAAGGCTATGGGGGACGTGGTAACCCAATCGGCATTCTGTGTAATTTTTTGTGCAATCGGAAAAGAGATGGAAAATTTCGTTCATACAAAAGTTTGGACACACAAGACACCTTGTATTTTTTTTGCAAAATATTACTTCAGAACACGATGATCTATTCAATTTTGCTGGTACCCCGCTTTGCTTTTGCACACACACGATGAAAGAAAATTCGTCAAATCTTGATGTGCACATGTGCCACATGCACAATTGGAATACCGAACTGGCTTATTGTGAATGGTTCAGGTCATTCACAAATGGCTTAAAACAAAGTCGTTACAAACCTAGTTAAAAATATCAATACATTGTAGCAACCAAAACCTAATTATAACCTGAAAAACATTATAACCTGAAAGCATTGTCTGACCTGGTTAGCTTCAGCCATGATGCGCATGATGTCCGCAGCCCAACGCCAATCGCGACGTGTCATCAAGGTCAAGGAGGTACCAGTACGCCTACAACGCAATCAAAATAAACAAACTCCGAGAATTAACTGCTGAAATGCACAGTGCAGATTTCTGAAATGCTTCAACCTCAAAAACTGGTAAAATGCATTCATTTCTTTATGCAAACAATTCAAATTGGCCTTGAGCACATGGTGTTTTCTTATTGTCATGATTTTCCCATGCACTCTCATGGCAGTGTCATAGAAATTAAAGGACATATGCCATAAATTCCACAATGCTAAAGGAGTCTGCATCCATGTACACGGTCACACATTCTGGAATTTGTATCTTTGTGGAGTCATTTCTTTGTTCTCGTGTACTAAAGTTTTGCGAGTTTGAAAGTGTACTTTCAAAATGCTCCTATTTTCACCAAAATGAATTTCCTGGGCTGAAATTCAGGTTTTAATATCCCTTACATAAAATACTTCAATTTGGGACGAATCAACAAACCTTGGAAATTCCTAGTTTTTGAGTAAAATCCATATATCTATTTCGTGATAACCTTGTGGAGACGTATTCACCTATAGAAATTGCTTTGTGGAGACGTATTCAATCTAGTGTTTCCTATTGTGCACATGTCTCCAGAGGGTACCATGTACCAGATAGTGTTTTACATAACTCCCGAGGACAAGCCATTGTCTTTTCCTTTGTCCCTGTAATATAACACTCTCCCTTAGACAAAGCACTTAAACGCACGATCGAGGTCCATTTTCAACAAAAGATAAACTCGATGTCAACAAAGAATCTGTTGTTCTCCCTTCGTTTGTCTGTCCTCCGTGTGCATGTAGTGTACGCCCATTCAAACAAGAATGAGCATTTTTCTCACATGCTACGGGGAAGTTTAGAAAAAACTGCAGGTGACTTCTTAATTAATTAGAAATTGAAAAGTACTTTCACAATATGATGTGGTTTAGGTACTCAGATATCTCTACAAAGAGTCTCTGGCTTAGGTGTTATACGTGCGATACAGCAAAACTAGAAAAAATGAGGAAATTCCAAACCACACAAGACTTTGTACAGTATTTTTCAATTTGAAATGGCATTCTTGAGAAGCAAAAACCGAGGAAATCAGCGGATCCGAAGAAAAGTTGCATGCCCGAGTCTTCCTCAGAAATCTTCGAAATGCTCTCCCCCCCCCCCCCCGAGTTTTGCCTGGGGAAAAGGAATGCTCATTGGATAGTCTGGAGGCTACTTTTACTTTATATTACCTTTCAGAGCAATTAGTTATTTGCACTTTGCCAGGTTTGTTAATGTCTTACAGGACAATAAAACGCTTCTTTGGTGTATTTTTTCTGAACCAGGGAATAATGTCGCTGCTACTTGTCATAAAATAAACTTCCAGTGCTGACCAAGAACATTAATTCATAGAATCCTGGGCGTCAATTCTTATTTGGTAAAGATTGGTAAACGACTTGTGTTCCTTCTGTCATGTAGAAAAGGAAACTCTGATTCACTTATTTTGCACTTGTGAGAGTTCTTTATCGTTCTGGACCCAAATTAGTGAATGGATTAAGAAGACCTTGAATAGAAACGTGCTTTTAGATTACGAGACGATTTTATTTGGCATACGTAACAAAAATTTGAGCGCCCTTAACCTACATCTTCTCCTATGCCGTTAGGCAAGTAGGGTGAAGTGGCTTGCCCAAGGACACAACATATAACCAGCAGCTGGATTTGAACACCTGACCCTCTGATCATGAGTCAGGAACTCTAACCTCTAGGCCACACAATGTATTAGAGAAATTCATATTTACTACAAATGGTAATCTTACTAAATTTGATGTGAAACGGGATCCATTCTCTCTTTTATGTAATGATTAATATCTGATTTCTTTATACTTAAGAGAAATATTTCTTCTAAACAGTTTCCCTTGAGGGGAAAAAAAAGGGGGAAAAAAAATTTGGTTAACTTACCCAGCACGACCCGTGCGACCGACTCTGTGCACATACTCCTCAATGTGGCTGGGGCTGTCATAGTTTAAGACGTGCGTGATATCCTTGATGTCCAGGCCACGAGATGCAACGTCTGTGGCTATCAGGATACGCACTGAACCTGCATGAGGTACAGATATCAAGAGGGTTCTGACTATGGCTATGATTACATAACATGGCTGCCGGTCATGCAGTCACAGACAAAAAAAGACCCAACTCCCAGATTTGGGCCCCAAGCCACGGTTTCAGAGACCATGGGCCTGAAACTTTGGCTTAGCACAAAAAAAGACTGGCTTATAAAAGCAGGTTACCAGCCAAAACTCCACGTAATGTATGCTGCTCGTGATTAGTATTCAGCTGTTGTTTGCTTAGCATGAAAATCACATGGAGTTTTGTCTGGTAACCTGTTTTTATAAGCCAGTCTTTTTTTGTGCTAAGCAAATTTTTGTGCTTAGCAGCGCCGTGAAATTGGCCCCATATGCGCTCCGTGCACAAGTACCCCATCAATGTACTTGGGGGAGACCACTGGAAGAGACAATGGAACGCATTGCCGACGCACCTGCGGTCATGCGAAGATGCTATGGCTTTGCGCACGGAATAAATGAGTTGCAAGTACATTGCACCATACGCATGCGAACTGGTGTGCGCGCGTGGTGTGTCCGGTTCACTGGGCTCTCGAAAGTGGACATAAACGCCCTCTCTTGTTTGCGAACACTCCGTACAAACCCATGGAAGAGCTCCAGTCGAAGAGACACACCTCGTGCACGCACTGGTTTGTGTGCGTATCTTGCGAGAAGTACGCATGATTCATTTTGTAATAGTTTTTGGAGTCAAAATTCAACCATTCCCCACTATGTTAGGTATTAGCATATATGGTACTAACCACCGCAAAAAAGAAGAAGAAGAAAGTCCACACTCATTGGAGGGGTCATAATTTTGAATCTGATCGTCTAATGATAACGTCATTTATATAGACCTTTGGGGAATGTTGTTAGCTACATTTTGATACCCCGTTTGCTACCGAAGACTGTTAACCATCCAACATTAACAACATTTTATGAAAAATGATGCAGTTTGAAAAGTTGCAAATTTAAAGAGTACGCAAGTGGAAGTTGCTGCGTGACAATGTTATATTGTCCGAAACGAATGGCAGGGAATATCGATCGCACAGTGCTTGTATGCATGGGAGCATGCGAATTGAATTACCTGCGCTTTGTTTGGACATTGTGCAATCAACAGGGGTCAATTACGGGCATGTGTGGTTACGCCTAGCAATTTCTCCTCGCGTTATCACTAAATTGGCAACTTTTCAAACTGCATCATTTTTCATAAACTGTTGTCAATCTTGAACGATTAACAGTCTCTGGTATCAAAATGTAGCGTACAAAATTCTCCAAAGGTCTATATAAATGACGCCATAAGACGACGATCAGATTCAAAATTATAACCCCTCCAATGAGTGTGGACTTTCTTTTTTTGCAGCATTCATGTAATGCTGTTCATTGTGAGCAATCTTTTACCTTCTTTGAATTCAGCAAGGGCCTGCTCCCTGTCGTATTGTTCCCTATCGCCATGGATACATTGGACAGAAATATCCAGGAGTGACATCTCGGATGACAGCTCATCTGCCCTGTTGAAAGCAGCAACACAATTCAATTCCATTAAATTCCATTAAATTCCATTAAATTCCATTAAATTCCTTTTAATTCCATGAAATTCAATAAAAACCCATTAAATTCAATTTTATGTCAAATCAATTTTGAACTGCACTACGGAAGTTGGCAAGGCAAAGCCTCATAAATAATTCACCATAAAATTTAGTAAAAAATAATATAAATGTCGACCCTATGTACAACATTTTGTAAGGTCTGTCGGGTTATTTGAAAACATAGCAATTTTTTTTGCCCCAAGTTCTATTCCAGTACTGAATAATCTTGGCAACTTTTTATTCCACCAACTTACGTGGATTTGCGTCCCACAAAGACCAGTAGCTTCTCATCTTCTTGTAGGCTTGAAATGAAGTCTACTAACTGCAACCACACAATGGACAAATAAAAAAAAAAACACGGTAAGAAAACCCATACCCGATTAATGAAAGGAATATACTGAACTACCTATATCCAATTACTATACCTCATACATATTCATGATAGAGAACTGAAGTCTCATTGGTCCATTCCCCATCACCTGCAAGATGCTATTTTTGCTGTTTACGAAGTGTGCTCGTTAGTATTCACGCACAGGGTAAATACACATACGCAGTCTTACCCGTGCGACAGTCTACTACGCACGCGCTTTACAAAGCAATCATAGAACTGTCGCACGGGTGTAGTACGCATACGCGAACATCGCCCTAGATACACACGAATAGATGGCGGCACACGTAAACGTTAATCAGTGTTTTGCTGAGCTCAATGATGCTGAACTGGAGAATATTGTGAACAATATTGACACTTCCTCTACTAAAAAAAAAATGTTGTCCACAACGCGGTATAAACTCATTGTCAGAAAAAGCAGCATTTTTGAAATAAATTTGAAAAGTCCATTTTCCAATTAAAATCAGAAAAGTGTTATCTCTGATTCTGATAAGTGACACTTACCCGTTCTTTCTTGTATTCTTCATCAATGACTTCCACCAACTGAGTAACACTATGGCATGCCTGTACAAACAAAACAAAAAAAGATCAACATTGAAAATATGTTCTCAAATTTTATACTATATATTCATGCCAAAATTGAAGCAAAACTGGTGTCCTCAGCCTCTGATTACTGAGCCATCCAAATACCGATAATGTTACAACAAGTTTCTGACTACATTATCGGTAAATTTTTGTAACAATATCGGTTAGTGATACAGTATTGGTCAGTTGTTGTTACATTATCAGTTAGTGATACGTTATCTGTTGGTGTTATTACATACATTATTAGTTGTAACACGGCTTCAACAATACTGCAAACCTGGCATATGAAAGTTGAGGATATCTGATTGGCTGAAATTCGATACAACATAAAACCTGTACTTACTGAGAGGTCTAACGATCCAACGTTAACATGGAATGGATTCTTCATGTACTTTCTGGCAAGTCGCTGTACACCATCAGGCCACGTAGCACTGCAATGAGACAGAAAAGAATGCAACAATGTTCCCCTCCAAACATTCAAACACCTGATAGCATTCTTGGATTCAATAGAACTTCTTCAAAAACCACAACAAGTGTTTACGTTTTATGCTACGCCCAATATTTTTAGACTACGTGGGCAACAACGCGTGCCGCACTCCAATGCCATTATGTATGTTCTAGCCACACGCATCGTACGCACTTACTCATTTTTTGCTTTTGTGCACGCATCTGGGGCTTTATCCCTCCTATGCAAACACACATTCTGTTCCAAGTTGTCCTCTCAACTGTTTTCAACAGTTAAGAGCTCCCGGCCTACATAAAGCACGATTGATTGGCTGCGACTGTTCGATACAGCTTTGCTTTGACTGTAGGTGATTGATAAGCCAGCTGTGCCCACAACTTGCCTGCTTTGTCTGATCATGGTCTGCCGACTGATTTTGACTAGTCACAGTGCTTGCTTGACATATGATCTGACTGTTTGTGACTAGCTTGTGTTAAAAGTATAGCAGGGAAAGTGGATGGAAATTTTGACTGTCTGCGACTATTTAAATAAAATAGCAGGAGGGTTGATCACTACTGTGATGGGTCAAAACATCCGAGGCACAGCGTAATGCATTGGTCTTTTTAAAGACACGGCTATGTACATGCTTTTCTGCTAACAGAGCTGCCATCCATTCTACAGAGACCATACACAGAGAGCATAAGCAGTAAGCACAATACATAGCGTGCTAACCTCAGAGGTGGAATGTGCTTAAAAGCAGTGTTGCAATAATGGACACCTCAAATAAAACATGTGGCTTTACGTAGTTGAATAACAACATTGGTACAGGTTTGCTGACACACCACATGACATACAGCGGTTCCCTCAAGGAACTGAGATGTTCTCAGCATTTCAACCATTATGCCCTAGTTCTCATTACACAAACATAACAAGGTATGGGAAGTTAACAAACTAACTAGCTTGTCAACTTCCAATACCGAGGGGAGCTAATATCAACTTTCCACCTGAAAGAAAACATGTTTGTTTTACTACACCTCATACATATTCATTTGCCGAATTTTTCGGAAACTTGTCCAGCTCACCAAAAGAATATTATTGCTCAACCTCAGAAAAGTTTATACCGCATTGTGGACAACTTTTTGTTAGTACTGGAGGCATCTTTATTGTCCACAATATTCTCCAGTTCAGCATCATTGAGCTCAGGAAAACAACATTCATTACGACTGCAACCGTCTTTTCACGGTAGCAAGGGCGATGTTTGGGCGTGCGTACTCCACCAGTGTGACAATTCCACAATTGCTTCGTCAAGGGCATGCGTAGTGGACTATCGCATGGGTAACCCGTGACGACAGTCCAATACGAATGCGTATTTACCCTGTGCGTTAATACTCGAGCACGCGCTTGGTGAACAGCAAACGTAGCATCTGGCACGTGATGGTGAATGGACTAGTGAAAATTCAGAAAATGTACCCCCTTCATGGTCAACCAACCTGGTCATGATGGTCTGTCTGTCTGGTCGTACATCCAGCAAGATCTTCATGATCTGTGGTTCGAAGCCCATGTCTAACATACGGTCTGCTTCATCCAGTATCTGTCAAATACATCCACAAGATATGATCAACTCTAAAATAATACACTTGACAAAAAATGATATATCATAACATAGACGGAAGGGTGTTTACATAAAAAACATGAAGTAAAATTGCTTAACAAATTGTTTGACATTTATAATTTTTGACTTGTTTTGACTTTTAGACAGAAAGGTATTTATGAATGGGGATTAATGTGAGCTTGGCCGGTCTTTAACAAGTACGTTTGAAACCGGCTCAGGGGCCTGGTTGCCGATAATGGCCCGAATCGAATTATCAGCGTCACCTGAGCCGGTCTTAAACGTTCTTGTTTAAGACCGGCCAAGTTCATATTTATCACCTTAATCTTAACTTGATTGATGTCGATATATACTCACAAGGAATGTAACTGATTTGACGTCTACAATCTCATTCATGATGAGGTCATTCAGTCTGCCGGGTGTGGCTAATGTTTGGAAACAAAGGAGGCAGGTTGTTAGAAATGAAGTATTTTATGAAGGAAATTTACAAAGAAAATACATTCCAAAGCAATGCGAGATTCATAAGGTTCATATATTATTTTGATTGCAAAGCCTCTTCTCAAGGGGCGATAGGTAGCAAATAAAGGCACCGAAATGCTACTTTGGGGGTACAAATATATGTGAATCCCACGTTAGTGACTCAAGTTTACAGGTGGCTAAAATTTGGAGATCACGCCTGTGCGTTCTTTAATGTTTATATTGAAGTTACTAATTTGCTTTGGGGTCATTCCATGACAAATCACGCCAAACAAATTAAAGTTTAAACCCCGTCCAATTGGTTTATGCAATGAACAAGTGAATTTAACCACGGGATTATTTTTTCCCGAAAATTTCGATTTTCACAAAAGGCAACATTTTCCAGCTAACTTCTGATATAAAGCCATATTCCACAAATAGTTATTCGCACGGGCCACTGACAAAAACAACCGTTTCGGATTGGGATTTAGTTTGAGATTTATTGCTTTTAAGTCAATTGCAAAACTCAAACAAGTTGGGCTGGAATTATAGCCTCTAAAGTTGCAATGAACTCAATAAATGATTACCTTTTACTTCAAATAAAGTCAATTTTTATGTCTACTTGAGATTTCCACTGTCCGGCCGTCAAATTCGTCTGTTTCAAGGGAATGAACAACGCATGCATGACATACTTCCACCAGTGACTCTGCTCAGCAAGCAGGGTCTGTGGTGGCTGACCCGTTCGAGCCCCGAGAATGACGTCAGAGCTAATCGCATGGCACGGGGCTGACCCGTGTCGACCCGGGTGAGCTAAACGAACGCACCCATTGTCTGCCTTTCATTTCTTAAATAGAAAAAAATTGTAGCGCAGGACTGTCACAAGAGGGCGCTGTGACTCACCAATGATGATCTCAACTCCTTTCTGGACGATGTTGATCTGCTCCCTTCTGTTGCCGCCACCATACACACACACACTGCATGCAAAAGTCATAAAAATAAGAAAGTGTTTTTGAAGCCAGAAAAAAAAGAGAAAAAAGAGATTTTGAAAGAGAAATCAGACTACTTTTTAAAGTTGCGTCCCCGTGCTATTTTAGAGTTTCATCCTGAAAATTAGATTCCTTTCCTAAATTGCTAATTTTCTAGCAATACAAAAATCGGTCACTTTTGAGTGAGAAAGCACCCTCCCACCCCCCCCCCAAAAAAACCACAAACACATTGGCCGATGTTTAGTTAATGCGTTAATTACTTTACAATTTTGAAATATTGGCTGACAGACAATAATGCTGTTCTTGCAGGGTAGGCTGGTTCCCGACCCACAATGAGTAGCGATAATGTGTCGATCGGGAGCCAGTCTGTTTGCAAAGACAATCTGTTTGTGCCGAAAAAAAAACAAGCTGAACATTTATATTAAGACAAAAATTAATATTTGTTGAAGAACATGAGGAGCATAACATTAACCCAAACCACCCTAATCCTTCAAAATCCAACTGCATGTTTTGTTGGAATCTGTTGGAGTGAGTACTGCACTAGTAAACTGATTATGCTTAACATGGGGTCAGGCATACCACCATAATCATAAATTTTGTATTTACCTAAAGGCACCCCTTAACCCTAACCACCCAACCCTTCAAAATCCAAAAGCACATTTTGTTGTAATCTGTTGGAGTGGGTACTGCACTAGTCAACTGATTATGCTTTACATGGGGTCAGGCATACCACCATAATCAAAGTCCAACAGTTTGGGTGTTGAGTTTACCATATGGTGTTGGATTTTGCAAGAGTGAGGAAGGTTCCTAGTAAATTACTGACGGGGTTAGCGTTAAGAAGAGGCAGACGTTTCTTTCTGCCACTACTTACCTCTTGATACCCTTATAGGAATACTTGCTAACTTCTTCTTTGATCTGTAATGCCAACTCTCTAGTTGGTGATAGGACCAGGACGTTAGGTCCGCCACGCTGTTCTCTGGGTCTAGAATCAAACCGAGATAAGATAATGAAAGGATTTGAGAGACACTGGTCATTGCCATTATTGAGATGATGCCAAGTTTATGCGTAGGCTGCAGACATTCTTATTTCAAGACGTGCATGTAAGTTTAAAAACCCTATTGGTTGTAGGAGCACCAAGTGCCTGCGTACTGCCTGCATGCGAGTGTGGTGCCCCCTAAGTGATGTCTTCTAATTCTGTTTGTTTTATATTATACAAATATTGACTGCTTGGAGTGGTTTAGTACATAAAGTGATCCATGGAGCGTTCTTTCGCCTCTGGAAAATAAAATGCTCCATGGACCACAATTTAAAGCAGTCAATATTTGATTTATAACACCTCACCCTCGGATCCGGTTTTACTTGAACTTTTCCAAACCACCCCTTCACAAAATGTTTGAGCCCAGCTCTGTAGTGCTAGCGCTTGGGAACAATACGCGCAACGTGCACACCCGTATGCATTTGTACGCAATACCGTTTGTAATGCATATAGTACTTTGGTTGCAACGGGTATAGAACTTTGGTTACTATGCATGTAGTACTTTGGTTGCTTTGCGTATAGTCTTTTTGGCTGTGCACAGCAAGATAGCAAAAGCAGCGAATACCATGTGACTCGCTCTAGGCCAATCAAGATACAGAATCTGTGGGTGACGTGTTATAATGAAGTTTACAGGAATCACAACTTATACATGTTCATCTAACATTATGGAGAAACAGAACTTCACATTCACAGTACAAGCTGTTAAACTACCACTTTCTTCAACTCACATTGGTTGCAGGTCGGTGTGAATGAGAGCTGGTAGTAGGAAGGCTAACGTCTTCCCGCTTCCAGTCTGCGCTATGCCGATCAGATCATGACCTTTCAAGGCAACAGGCCAACCTTGCGACTAAATACAATCAATCAGATGTTCAATATATTGATGGCAAAAGGTAATAGTTTGTAATGAATTAGGGTGTCGCAACAACACAATGTTTTCATTACGAACAGTAGAAAACTCACATCTACTGAGGCAGTGGTAGTAAGTTCACTTCATTATAAAATTTAAAGTTTGTAAAAATATAATTTTTGAAGCGAAGCAACATGTAAACATACTTCAAAAACCTTGGATTCAGGTCTGTCTAATATGCATCTAATAACATGCATTCCTAATAATGAAATATGGTTTTGTATTTTTTTTTAATGATAGGACTTGCATAATTACTTCACAATATTTGTTAAAAACCAAAACTTGTTACCGATACCTGAATGGCAGAAGGCTTTTCAAATTTCTGTTTGCGAATCTCTCGCATAATCTCAGCTGAAACGAAAAGTATGGAAAAGAAGTTGATGAATTATGTTAAGAAAATCACTGTAAATCTGGTACTGTGAAAAAGTGCACCCCAAACCCAGGCTGGACTCGAACCCACAACCTGCAGAATTACCCGCAGATCACGAATTCAATGCTCCAGGCCACGAGGCCACTGACCTCTCCTTAACAAAGTGGATTTTTAACTCCCAAATCCACCAAAATCCTCTTTGCAAAATAGAGCATTTTGTAGGATTGAGGTTACATGGAAAAGGTATTTTACTGATTTCATAGGATGCACTTTGTCAAGGTCTTGGGCCGGACCTTGCATTGTTAATGCTCAGCCATGCATAAATTTAGGTGTAGATTATGCTTGAAATCCTCCATACTGCTCCAGAATGTCACTGGCTCTGCCTCAACATATTGACAGTGATTGCTGGTGGATTTTGCAGGATTCAGGCAGTGGTCACCCCTCCAAGGACCACATTCAAGAAATAACGGAGGATTTTGCAGGATTGAGGCTGTATGCTATTTTTACATGGAGGCAGTTGGAGGATTTTGAAGGATTGAGGTTACATCCTAGCAAACATGCCTAGGGAGTTAGGATTAAAGAAGCCTCGATAATGATATTTAGTATCCATCGATACCAAGGACGTAGACTACTTACGGTAATGGTGGAATGCTTCTTCAAATGTTCGGACTGGTTTGGGGACAGGCCTGGGGTTATCCTTACAATCATCATCTATGGTTACTCCCAAATTCTCTCTGAAGAAAAATATAAATCAGAGATGAAGTTTTACAAAATAAAATTAAAACATTGGGAACAATATCTGTACTGGCTTTCATGGGACGAACGTTACAAGAGTTTATTATTGTTGTGCGCATAGTGGCGGGATTCAAATCCTTTTAAAATTTGGTTTGATTTCCATTATTCGATTTAGATTTTTTGAAATAATTAAGCCTTCCATTTTTTGTGACACAAGCTTAAGAAAACAACGGTGGAACGTGCCCCAATTTGTTCCATGGTCTCTGATTGTAACTGCATTCACTCGCTAGCGGTCTTCTTGGTATATGAATAGCCTGCCCATTTGACTTATCAGAGAGTTCCCATCCATTTTTTTCACCATTACAGCTCTGGAGTGTTTTTGTGAAGGCCCAGTGGTCATTGAAACCTGCAAAGTATACCTAGTCATTGTGGAGGGCACTTTTTGTTGGAATGACTGTGAACTACAGGGTGGTAAAAAAAAGAAGGAAACACATTTTGACAGGTATTTTAACCTACTTACTTAATGTATTTGAACTGGTTTTTTTTATAATGTAGTGAAGTATAGTTCTTCAACCATACATGGTGAAAAAATCTATTAAAAAATCACAAAAATAGTGTTATTATGCTATTAAATACAAGTCACCAAAATCCACGTGTATGTCTAGTGTAGTGTTTATTGTCTTGAGATCAAGCTCCGGAGCTCAGTCAAGCGGATGGAATAAAGCCGTCCGTGGACAAACAGGTTTGGCACATGAAATTTTTAAACTACTATATCTCAGAGACAAAATATGCCTTTGCAATCATTTTTTTGTCACTTAACTTTAAAGATCAATATTTTAATACCATTAAATTGAAGTTTTGAAATATGCTCAACAAGTAGGTGAAAATGGCTGTCAAAAGTGGGTTTCCTTCTTTTTTTTGCATGGGAACTTCCAGTGAAATCAGAAAACAGTTATTCTTGAGTTTGAATTTTTTTCCAGATAACTGGATTTTGAAAACTCTGATTTCTCTCACCATTATGTGTGCATAATCATCATTTTCAGAGAAGTACAGTGTTATTCAAGTAGAGTGTATTTCAATTAAAGGGAATATACAACATTTGCAAACATCGAAAAATAAAACTACCAAGTTGTTATGAAATACCTTACTAGGATGTTGGTAAATGACAGTCTAAAGCATCCTGTAAAATTCTGGCACCTGGTGTTAAGTCATTTTCAAGAAAAATGTTACTTTTGTGTACATTTCAAACGGTGGTCGGCCGACCACCGTTGGAAAAACTATTTTTCAACTACTGCTCCATATTTACCATTTTTTTTTCAGTCCAAATTTTGTTTGCTATTGGTTCCATGTTCATGAATGGGTGCAGGCCAGCTAGACTGGTTCCCTCACCTTACAATTTTCCGGCATTTTTGATCCATTTCATCTTTAAGTGGAGTCGGGGAACCAGACTACTTGAAAATTTTGTTTTTCTTGGTTTTTCCAGCATTTTCGTACGCAAAACTTCGAACATGTCAGTGTAACAATATTTGATCTATTATGCTAACACCTCAAATAGTTCATTTCTGAAAATTACAGCAAAAGCCAATTATGTACATTCCCTTTAGGTGACATTTATGTCCCGAGTTTTTGTTGTTAATAAAGGATGTCAGAATGTACCTGATTTCCTGTGCTTCAGACTGTGTCAAGTTTTCCACCGATGGTGCTATGATGTAGAAATCCTTCACAACTTCAGGATAATCTGGCAAAAAAAAATCAAATCAGTAATACATAAAATCTTGTTCAACTTTGCACAGGAATTGTTTGAAAATGCAAGGCGTTGTGGAAAAATGAGACGTAAATGGGCACAGGCCATTGTGGAGCAAATTGCAACAAAAATATTTTGTTTTTGTTTTTTCAATTTTCATATTTATTAGGCCTTTTTGCTAGGATGTAGCCTAAATCCTGCAAAATCCTCCAATTGGCCTAATGGGAAAATAGCATATAGCCTCAATCCTGCAAATTCCTCCATTATTTCTCGAATATGGTCCGTGGAGGGGTGACCACTGCCTGAATCCTGCAAAATCCTGCGGCAGTGACTGTCAATATGTTGCGGCTTGGCCAGTGACGTCCTGGAGCAGTACGGAGGATTTCAAGCATAATCCAGGCCTATATTTATGCATGGCTGAGCAAAAACAACACAATGTCTGGCCCAAGATCTTGACAAAGTGCATCCTACGAAATCAGTAATGCACTTTTGCCATGTAACCTCAATCCTCCAAATTCCTCCACTTTGGCAAAGAAGATTTTGAAGGATTCAGGGCGGTTAGGGTTTCTCTTTAATATCATTTCTAGCGGAACAGTTTCACAGGGTATTTGATACCAGTCCTATCTTCACTTTAAACAGTGTTTCTGTTGTTTCATTAGTAGGTATTTTATCCAGTAATTGCAAATAATCCTACATCGATTTAACAAAATGCCTGTAACCTTTACCCGATCCATGAAAAGAGTAAAGTTATCAAATGAGCCACATACATTTGGATAATTTTCAAGTACAATTTAAAATGCACAATACCATACCGTGCCATTTTTCCATTTCGCTGTTGGCAGCGTTCGCAATAGCCTGCTTCCAATTGATCACGGGTCTATCAAGAAAATACATGAAAACAAAGTCAATAACAGAGATTGACTCTCCTTTTTTTATAACTGCCACAAACTGTCAAAAAACATAACCACTCCTATTCTTTTGTACAGGCTGGTCACCAACTACCAGAAACCCCTATCAGAGATGCCAACATTCAAAATTCAAAAAGCGTAATTTTTCCATCAGACACCTGCTGAAAAGAAGAAATTCCCTACATTTTTGTACATAACATGAAACCTGTTGAAAAATCAAAAATTTGTCACAGCCAACAGATTTCACAACAAAGCCCCACTTTTTGCTGTACTTGTTAAACTTCTGGTGAAATGAAGCAATCGTTGTTTGTTCTTCAATCAGCAAAATGAAGAAACTATAATGTTCAATTGCCACAGAAAAATGCTCGCGTTGCAATTTCCGTGAATTGCTAAATATTGCTAAATATCACAATGTTTTCATTGTTCACATGATTTTCCATAAAGTATAATAGGGTAACTGTGCCAGTTAGCAACTTGTTGAATTTGAAGCTCATCAATACTGAGGTTTGGCAAGACTACATGATGATATCTGGAAGACAAGGTAAATGTGCGAAAGTTTAGGGTATAATAGTAGCCATTTGGCTTGTTACTATGTCCTCATAATTATTCAGTCACTTATATGCTTTAAAAAATGTTATTGAATTAAGGAAGTGTAGGTAGAATCACCAAAATAAACATTTCAAAAAATAAAATAATAAAAAATTATACCCAAATATGGGAACAAATATATTACACTACAGGTATTAAAGATTTATGCAAATTAGGCATATGTTCACTAAAACTCCAGCTTGGTAACCATCATTTTCGGATTCAGCACCCCAAAATAGCTGAGTTGCCAACTTCTACTCAAAAAAGCCTCTTCCTGTAACATTTTTTGAAATATCACCTAGACTATGAGAGACGGAGGTTAAATATCAAAGGAAAAAACCCAGAAAATAGGCTTGGTGATTCATAAATTCAAAAAAACTGCGTTCTTTGAAACGTGGGTCTATACCTTTTGTATTCTCCATTTGGTGCCGTTGCTGCTGATCATGGTGATGTTGGAAAAATCAAAAGAAAGTAGATAAAAAAAAGGTATAAAAGCATCTTTAAAAGCATGGGAGTTCGTCACTGAGCAAAGGGGCAATTCTTCCGAAACTGAAACTTCACCATTAAAAACAGTCACTTGACCGAGTTCGACTGAAATGACAACTTTGCACAGAATGCATGTTTGCATCTATACGAGAGTTAAAGTACTTTATTCAGTCAGCACAGCTTGGGTGCTTTTCAACTAATAAATTCAGCATATAATAATAACAGGCATTTATATAGCGCCTTTAAACTGGGTATCAAAGCGCTTTACAATTGTTATTACCCCTGTTCAATGGGCAAACACTCCTGAAACCTTCTCAACTCCCTGGGGAGCATACACGGCCGGTAGGCAGCCATTTTGGCGCTCTTGGCCATAATCTACACAGTACATAATCTCACAGTAACCAGCTCTGCCCTCACAGGTACCCATTTACTCCTGGGTGGAGAGAAGCAATGAGTGACAAAGCGCCTTGCTCAAGGGCACACGCACCATAACCCTAGGCAGGACTCGAACCCACAACCTGCAGAATTACCCGCAGACCACGAATTCAATGTTCCAGACCACTAGGCCACGGCACTCCACGAGGACTTGAGCAAAAGCTCAACTACCATACTGGTCTGATATAACATGGTCTCACTCCTACCAGTACTTGGGAGAGATGCTCTGGATTTGTAAGACATTGATGGTCTCAGCAGCTCTTCTATCATCTGTCTAGCCTTCTCGATGGCCTCCTCGGTCCCTCGAAGCTCAACAGGGACTGTGCCATCATCGTTTTCCTGGTCTCTTGGAACCTGCGGAGAAAATGTCACATTTACCATAATTCTAAGTCTTTTAGCTTAGAAAGGAGATAAGATTCTGAAGGTTGATGAATAAATGTAGCTTCATGCAACACTTGTCAAAATGAGAATCCTACAGTGTGACAAGATCCACAGGTCGACCATCTAAAGGTACATCTTCCTCAGTGTCTGTGATATGAGATTTATAAAATATTAAAAACAAATATAAATTCCCCTCCCGAATGATTTTTTTTTTCAATCTGAGTGATAAAAACCTAAAAATCTATTTTGAATGGCCTTAAAATTTCACCATTAAAATTCCCTGAAGATGGGTTCTCCTGCTGCAACAGGCTTGAGTGTGCATATATGTATGCATCCACTCAATTGACCTATCGCTGTAGAATCGTGTTAGAATCGCATCAATGCAACTTGTGAAATTTTGTCCACTTACATGCCCTACAAATGGATGCGGAATGCGCAAAATTTGAGACAAACAAAACTTAGTGTATGAAAACTCCATCGGGTTGTCTAAGGGGCGGGGCTAACTCGCAAATGGCGATAGGTCAATTACCTCTGGTTTTTAAGCTTGCATTTTGTACAAAGCCTGTTCTTTCTGAAGTGATTTTTGAAATCTTTCTGTCTATCTCTCGAACTGCCCCCCAAAAAACAAAAAAACACTGGTCCGACCTTTATTCTAGCACCACTGTCATCTTGAAGTTCACGGATCTTGCTTCCTTGTCTACCTGCAAAATAAACAACATAAAAAAAAGTTGACAATTTGTAATAAAAAGCCGTATCCTCTCCGAGTGATCCCGTTTGCTATTTCCCAGTTCTGCATCGTGACGTTGGGCATGATCCCTGGCTGTATGGCATACTGGTTTATGGCTTCTGACTAGCGCCCCTTGAACAAAAATATTAACTAACTGGGAACCGCCAACTTAGGGCTGGATAGCTTAGTTGGTAAGAGCACCGGAACGGTTATCCGGAGGTTCAAACCCCGCTCCAGTCAATTTCTTGTTGAATTTTTCAACATAAAAAAGTCATAGAGATGTAGCAGGACGTCAACGAAAGATAAAATGAATAGTTTCCACTTGTCAATGATCTGTACATATGTCCATTCCAGATCTGTCTGAATGACATAAAACACTCATGATTGTTGAGTTGTGCCGTGCTATGATGCCAAAGAATGCAAACTCACATGTGCACGTAAAAGGGTAATCATTACTTTTACTTTAGGACCCTATTCCTAGCTTTGTACAAAACCGCTGAAATGGCGTCGGATTGCAACATTCGCTCTTTTCACGCTCCGCCACTGGGCATGCACAGTCTCGATCTGGCAACTTTACACAATAAAAATAGCCGGTTCAGTGATCTGAACCCCGATGCGGGAATCACTGAACCAGCTATATCTATTGTGTAAAGTTGCCAGATCGAGGCTGTGAATGCCCATGGCGAAGTGTGTAAAGAGCGAATTGGCCTAGTTCTAGGCCTTCTCACTCTTGGTATGGTAAGTACTGAGTGCTAATGTTGGTAATCCTTACCTTTGGGACCCCGTTCCTATATAAGGTTAAAAGACTCACCAAAACAGCTGACGAAATGACACTCAAAAGTGACATTCTGATATTTCTTGTCACATTTGAACAGTTGGCAATGACACCTTCTTGAATATCAGCAAGTTTAATTTTGTAGAAAGAGGGCAGGGCTTTGATTTATGAGGGGTTAAAGACGACGATGACAAACAGAAAATATATTGAAAAACCAAGATGGCGAACTGCAAAACAGGTAGGAAAGTCACATTTTCTTTGAAAGTGCTTTCAAAATTACAGCTAACACAATTAACGTGAGTTTATCTGAAAAAAAAAGCCTGCTTTAGCTAGACCCGTTAACATGGTTATATACATATAGCCACGCTTCAATCTATAGTAAAAACACTCTATTGTGATCCGTGGTTACTGTGATAGAGTGACCGTTCTAACCGAATTTCGGCTACATTTGACAGAATATTTGCATACAAAAGTGAGTTGTACACAAAATCCAGCAGACTATTTTTTTTTTCGGCAGAATTATGTAGATGAAGGAAAATGAAAAAGATTAGAGAAAATAGGGCCTATATTTATGGCACATTTGGTTTTAAAAACCTTCCTATTTTTTAAAGATCCCTGAAACAAACCCGTGCACAATGGAACAGCAATATATACTGGGTAATTTGGCAGATTTTGGAAGTGGATTTAGCAAAATTTTACATGGTATTACAGTCATCCTGCCATGCAAGACAGTTAGTCGGGTACCCACTGGTGGGACTCTTACCGTTTTGCACATGCAGAACTCGGGGTACCAGAGTGTAGGAAAGAATGTTGCAACCTGACGCCACTTTTTTCTTCATATATCATCTCAATGAAGGCCATTCATTGCAAAAATGATAAGACATGAATCTGGGACTGAGAAATATTTCCAATTTTGTTAGGAAATGACTCTCCATAGATTTTGTACACAAGCGCGGAAGTGGCGTCACGCGTCAGGTTGCAACATTTTTTCCAGAGTGTCATGCCTGTCTTTGATTTTCTGATCATTTTGAAACGTTGGTTGTGACAAACTTGTGCCGTACTTTACACCAACTTTTTTGGCAATGACAGATCCAACACTCGCGTAAGTTCACAGGAAGCTGAACAAGTAAGTGATTAGCTATGGGCAAAATTATACATGGTTATATGTAGCGGATCAAAAGATATAATGATTTCGCTTGTATTACGCGACCCGTAAGGCTTACAAAGGGTCTACAAGTACAACATGGTCTAGCTTTAGCCTGCAAAAGTCACTTTGGTACTGGACAGTACAACAGTCAACAAACAAGTACAAATGTCAGTTTTGAACAGAACTCGAGCTCGTGAAAATAGGTGTCCTAAAGATAAGGATTACCCTACCTAATGTTAGTGATGGGGAACAGAAGAGATATATGTGGCGAATTGGCAATGAGCCGAAATGCATTTGAAAACGCAATGCCTGGGCTGAATGAATGGGCGATGTCACGCCCCAACTATCGCATCGGTCCCAACTATAGTTGGGACTGTCCCAACTATAGTGCGGCAGTTGGGTCGGCCCAACTATAGTTAGGACTGGAGTTGCGCCGGATGCTTCATGCTTGATAGATCTTGTTGGATTAAATGTTCCGCGGCGCTGGCACCGTGTATTCGTCGTGCATGCATGCCGCAAGGCTGGCCGGTCACGTGGTACTGCCTAGTTGGATGAGTTGTCCAGCTGCTGGGTTGATTGTCCAGCAACATTTAGCAAAATTCAAAGATTGCCATGGCCGGCCAACTATAGATGGGCCCCACCCATAGCTAATGTCAAAGGTCCCAAGTAAAGTCGGACAGTATGTAACAGAGCTGTAGGGAACGTTTTATAGTCGTCGTACATCAATGTAAACTATAGTTGGGACCGCCATATAAAAATATTGCGGTGGCCCAACTACAGATGGTCCCCACCCATAGATAATTTCATTGGTCCCAAGTAAAGTCAGATGTGTATTAGAGTTGTAGGGAATGTTTTATAATCGTACAACAATGTACACTATAGTTGGGACCGCAAAATAAAAAGATTGGAGTGGCCCAACTATAGATTCGCCCCATCAATAACGAATTTCAGTGGTCCCCAGTAAAGTCAGACGTGTATCAGAGCTGTAGGGAACGTTTTACAGTTGTACACATGGTTGTACATCAATGTAAACTATAGTATAGTTGGGACACCGCAAAATAAAAAGATCGGAGTGGCCCAACTATAGATGGGCCAGCCCAACAGTGGAACTTACAGTTGGGACCGTCCCAACTATAGTTGGGACAGGCCCAACTATAGTTGGGACCGATGCGATAGTTGGGGCGTGACAGCAACAAAGTAACAAACATGACAAAATGGTCCGATGCGGCTATGGCGCATTCAACATGTCAAAACACATTCATTGTCAATCAAAAACATTAACCCACCAATTATTTTACCAACATCATTGGACCCTACAGATACTGTCTCGAAACTGGAATTCCACTGTTGGGTTGGCGTTCTGCTGAATTCCTGACTTTGAACATGTGGAATTTGATTCCGAAACCCACGACCGCGAGAAGGCATTTTTGACACTGTACTGCTACTGCTAGTGATCGCGTGCTCGTGCTGACATGTCACTACCGTCCGATTTCGCCGATGATCAGTACATGCAAAACACGTGCACCGTGATTTCACTTGATACGTCTGGGTTTCAAATGTATACAATTTTATCAAACCTCGGCTCTACCTGGGCTGTGGCTTCATCACTGGTTCATCAGTTTCCCAACCGAACTGCCATAATTGTTGGCCATCAATATTGCAGGGGAGAAGAAACGAATTTATCGGCTACTTTATTCAAAACACAAGGTCTGACAATAAAAATGTTTCAGCTTTGACTCAAATAAATGATTAAAATCTCATTTCTATTTCAATGCCTGTCCAAATGGTATTCGGACAGCAATATACATATAGTTTCTTTTGGATATTTTCAGTAGGCCTAATTCTTTTTTCTCTTTTCAGATGAGTCGAAGAACATACTATTTTAAGACAAACTTAACAATAATGTATCAAATTTGATTGCTTTGTATTGTATGGGGAGGTCACTCTCTAAAATTGAAAAGGTAGGGGCGGGGGGAGACAAGTAGTATGAGACCATTCTAATGAGTGCGCTGTTTGGCACAGTTTTGCCTACGATATTTTGCTGGAAATAAAAAAACAATAATTGGGGGGGGGGGGGGGGGATACGCCCGGGTTTGTATTTTCTGTATGCATTCCTTTTCAACCAATCAGAGAATGCTGCCAAAATTGAGGGCGCTATTCACATATTCTTGGAAAGTTTATAAGTAAACAGGTGAACACGCAGGAACAAAAGGCAAATTAATTCGTGTGACAAAAAGACACACATTATCGAACTGGCATGCAACATTGAGCATATTTGTCACCATGGAAACGAAAGGGTTATACAAAGGCAAAATCTATACTGAAATTGTATGCTTTAATAACATATTTAATGGTTCTCAACACACAGTTCATGTGATTTTAACAAATTGTTACTGGCAACTGCTATTTAACATGCAATAAATGTAAATCATAGTGCATTATTCATCTACTTATGTGATGGAAGTAGGAAAAGAAAGCAACATTTACAGCAGTAATTTTATGACTATTGATTTATAACAATGGGTGAAAAGGCAAGCATTTGTGCCACTAAAAGAGATATTACTGAACCAATCTTGTGAAACTTCTGCGTACCGTTTGGCTTCGGAAAGAAAACAAATGTCATGTGAGGAAATTGGTAGTGACTATTACGCAGGGTGACCCAAAAAATGCAACTCTAAAACCTTTTGCCTTTTGAAATTTCAAATACTGAAAACGAATCATGAGGACAGCACTTTGGTTTGCTGAAAAAATGTCAATTATGTAAAAGTAGTCATTTTTCATCCTGAAGCCAAAACAATACTACAGTAATGGATTTTCACTGTACCTATTTGTGCATGTCCTATTCCTTACAAACATTATGACACATAATATGACAAGAGTACAAATGCATTTGATGGAAAAACCTTTTATTTTCCACCTGAACAGGTATCTCATCTGAAAATTGCAACAAAAGCAAATGTTGTACATTCCCTTTAAAAGGTAGGGGGAGGGGGGAATCTGCCCCCCCCCAACTTTTTCCGCGATAGCCTTGACATTTTTTTTTGTCGCGACCCGAGCTGTTATGAGTTTTTAGCCTCGAGCCTTGCGCATCTTTTGATACCAAAAACATAAAAGTTTGCAAACTTCAAATCATTTCCACAACTAATGATAGCACATGCAACCAAATTCCTGTCTGTTACATCATACTTTACAGAGCAGATAATGTATCATAGTTGGGTATCTGTACAAAGTATGTCTTTATGAAATATATTATTACTCTTCCAAGACAATAGTATGTATAAGATATTCACATTGAACAACACCACAACAAAAAGCTGGGAAGTGAAAGTACTACATGTCAAAAAAAAATGTCCTACTTTTTGATCCTAAATAATTAATAGTTAATGTGGTACCCGCTGCTATGCACATTAGATTCGAACCAGCCAACCGATCCCAATAGCTCGGTGGTCGAGTGGTAAGACATCTGCACTAGAAAGCAGGAGGTCGTGGGTTCGAGTCCCACCCGAGTGATTTTTTCCAACTTTCACTCGGGAGGTAACACACTGAGTATACAGTGTTGACATCGGTGAAGGGCAAAACCTAATTTGATTTACATCACACTGACGCAAAATTCCATCTTATTAATGCTAAATAACTCTGTTTTTTTTACCAATGGAAATAAACAAAAATTTCAGATCATGTAAACAAGGCATGACTAAATTTTATGGAGCGAGTTTCATCAGCTTAAATGCCAAACACAAATTAAAAATACTCACTTTCAGAGACAGTGGCGGAAGGCGCGTGTTGCGGCCGAAAGCTTCTGAAGGAAAGCAGGATCACCCCTGATGTCATTGCACACGTGCTCGTTCGTGTGTTGCACCAAACGAGGTGTGCAATGACATCAGGGGTGATCCTGCATTCCATCAGAAGCTTTTACTTGCAGCACGCGCCTTCCGCCACCGTCTCCAGCACTGTGTCAACATTTGCAGGACGCCAAGTCTAAAATGGCAGATTCTGAAAGTTCAACTTTTGGGCGCATAAAAAATAAGGACAAATATGCATATACCATCAACTTAAAAACTAATCTCCTTACCTCATACAACATTTTCTTTAGTAACCTTTTAAAAAGGAATTTGACTCTTTATCCAGAATGCAAAAAACTTCTTGTACCTTACCAAATTTTAATTCATTCATTCATACAGTTAACACTTGGGGGCCACAAATTTTCATTTGATAATTGAACTGCATATGACTATTTTGCAATACATAAAAGCGGGGAAAGATAAATGTCTCCAAGAGGAATTGGTTTTTCTTCCAAATTTTAAAATCAACCCATAACTACAGGTATGATGTGAGCATATTTTGCTTCAGCCGTGTAAAAGAATACAAACTCTTAAAGACGAACATTTATATAAATTAACGAATTTTCAAAATCAGAACTGATTCACCGAGTGATTTCTGCTATCTCAGTTTTGCAAATGTTTTCAAAGTGCCTAGTTTGGGTGTGGTAAAACACAAAGTCAAGAAGTAAAATGATTAAAATATTCTCCTTTTAAATACTACACTTTTTAAGAGAAATTTAAACCGTACATGATTTATCATTAGAATGCGAGTTTCCTACAGCATACAGGGCGGTGCAAAAAGAAGGAAACCCACTTTTGACAGGAATTTTAACCTACTTAATTAACTTATTTGAACTTTTTCTTTTATAATGTACTCTTCACCCATACATGGTGAAAAAATCTTTAATAAAATCGCAAAAATATTGTTATAATGCTAATTTGAATATAAGTCGCCAAAATTACTGTTGTCCACGTGTAAGTCTACAGTGTAGTGTTTTTTGTCTTCAAATCAAGCTCTGGAGCTCAGTCAAGCGGATGGAATAAAGCTGTCCGTTGACAAACAGGTTTGGCACATGAAATTTATTATTAAACTACCATATCTCAGAGATAAAATACGCATTTGTAATCATTTTTATGTCCTTATGTTTAAAGATCAATATTGTAATACTATTAAATTGAATTTTTGAAGTATGCTCAACAAGTAGGTAAAAATTGCTGTCAATAGTGGTTTCCTTCTTTTTGCACCACTATGTACATTAGTCGCATGTTCTGTCGTCCTCAGTATAAAAGAATCCTTTTCTCCACAGACTTCCGACAGATGGGGCACTCCGACATACGATCGCCACACAGCTGACAGGTGCCATGACCACAGAGGAAGATCATGTTCTTGATTCGATCCAGGCACACAGGACAGATAGTCTGCAGAAGACAACACAAACAAAGTCATGACAGTGGTTCATGAAAGATCCAACTTAAGTACATTAACTTAGTCTTATTACTAAAACAGGGGCTGTACAATCGGGCCTGTTCCCTGATCCCAGACTGGGGGGGGGGGGGGTTGTTAATCCCCAAAGTGGAACTTTGATATGCGAGCACGGAGCGCAGAGTGTGAAGCCTTTATGGCATGGGGTCCAGGGCCCGCTTAAGCCCTGACCAATTTGGATTCTAGATTCTCTGTGGTGCAATCTGAGGCATATCCCGGTCACTTTCCCCTGAATTTCTGAGCAAAAGTTTATCAGCGCAACATTGTGCACACAATACCATGGGGGTCATCAAAAGTGGAATTTGTTGGCGGCATTAAATAACAATTTTTTTTTCTCAAGATTTCTGAGCGGAACTCAGAATAAGTTTGATGCATCTTGGTCATGATGTGTTTAGTGAAATCTCAGGACGCATCTTAGCTAGGATCGATCTTAAAGCGGGGACTTGTCATAAGTCCTAAGATGAGTCGTAAGATAAGACAAGTTTCCTGAAATCGGCCCCAGACATATGTATTTGTCACTGTTGAAACTCCAGTAGGAAACGAATGCATGGAGTTCCCCTGTCTGAAACCCCAGACTATTTGTGTCGACTACAGTTGCTTCTAGAATACCTTATAGTTCAGCAGGATTTTGGAGTGCGTTCCAGTCACGTGAACATTTTTGCGTTTGTTAGCTAGGTCTTGCAAATGTGCCAACCCCAAAATGAACAGTGATGTTCTCGAAAAACTGTTGTCAAAATGGTGGCAACCGTATGCCAATCCTACGAGTACCATTGTTTGGTTAGCAGATTTTAAAATCCCCGAACATTAATTGTGACCGGGAGTAAAATGATACTGGTAATCTATGAACTTGCAAGCAAAGTTGAAAACAGAAATTTGCAGCCACGGCAGGATCATAACATTCATTATGTGTGTCGGCCATTTTGGAAACATAACAACTCAGGAAGACCATAAGCCTTTGATGCTAACGTTGGCCAACTTGGTAGCAAACAGTCGTTCCCACTTGGGAAAACCTTGGGAAAACCAAAGATTGGCAAACATTGGCTTTGTGCGTATAAGTGGAAAAAAAAAGAATAAATAAAATAAAATGCTTATATATAGTGCAATCCATTGTATCAACGATCTCAAAGCGCTTTACAATTATTACCCCGTTCATCAGGCCACGAGACCACGCGGCAGCCGATATCAACGCACACTCGGTCCTCTACCCTCACAGGTACCCACTGATACTCCTGGGTGGAGAGAGGCAATTGTAGTTAAGTGTCTTGCCCAAGGGCACAAGCACCATGCTCCTGACAGGGTTCGAAACCCATGCACTTTCGTACATGAGTCAAACGCCGTAACCACCGGACCATGGCATTCAACAAGTGGGACGCACCCCTAAAATGCCAGTCCGACCTTGTAGTTTTAGGGAACATTTGAAGGCTCACTACTACGCAAAGACCAGGGGTTACAGGGCAATTGCATCTGTATAGCTCCATAAATTGTATCAAGAACTACGTGTCAAAAAAAACATGTCCTACTTTTGATCCTGTTGTTTACCAATGGAATTAAACCTAAATTTCAGATCATGTAAACAAGGCAAATTTTATGGAGCGAGTTTCATCAGCTTTGTGCAAGAGGGTGAGATTTAAACGCCATATGAAAAAAAATACTCACTTTCAGAATGTCGACACAGTGTTGGAGACGGTGGCAGAAGATGCTAGCTGTGACCGAAGGAATGATCACCTCTGATGTCATTGCACACCTCCTTGATCGTATGTTGCGTTAAATAATCGAGGTGTGCAATGACATCAGGGGTGATCCTGCACTCCTTCAGAAGCTTTCGGCCGCAGCATGCACCTTCCGCCACCGTCTCCAGCACTGTATCAACATTGCAGGACGCCAAGTCGAAAGTGGCAAATTCTGAAACTCAGGTTTTTTGTATGGCGTTTAAATCTCACCCTCTTGCACTAAGCTGACGAAACTCGCTCCATAAAATTTGTCATGCCTTGTTTACATGATCTGAAATTTTGGTTTAATTCTATTGGTAAACAACAGAGTTATTTAGGAACAAAAGTAGGACATGTTTTTTTTGACATGGCCCTACATGTACCTGCTCCTTGATGTCCTGTAGTTGTTGCTCCAATTTATGCAGCTCACTGTTGGCGTTATTCATCTTCTGTGGCTTAGTCGGGGCTGTACTATTATTGGATGCTACTGGTGGAGCTAAACAACAAAGAAAATTACAAGCACAAAAAAAAATGGCTTCAACCATCTATGCAAAATAACATTCATAAACAATGTAAAACACTTAATATTCACTTGATACCTGTTAGTTTCTATGACATATTGCAAGATTTTGTAAAAATACTAAGTTGGCGTTTTGAAATTTCATTGTTAAGTCCGCAACTGTTAGTTCCCACTTTCAGAAAATGGCTCGTTAAAGGCATATAAGATAATTTGCTTTGCATGCATTTTGTTCGTTTCCAATAATAACACCACTCAAAATTCAAAGAAGAGTGTTCAAAACCTAACCTGTTGAACTTTCAGCTCAGTGGATATGACACTTTCAAGAAAACAGTGAAATACCATGCACAACCTTTTGATCATGAAACTTGATTTTGTCAAAAGCACTCTTTACCAAAAATCTAAATGACAGCTAGCCAGATGGAATAATTTCACGGGGTGTTTAGTACCAGTTCTATCTTTAATCCAAGTAAGATTTTTTGAAAATAATAATTATAGTAATTATAATAATAGTGGGTATTTATTAAGCGCACGTATCCATGCTCAAGGCGCTACATCATTATTACCCTGCTCATTGGGCCCATGAAACATTCCAAATATCGTCTCAGCTCCCTCAGGACTATACAGCTCAATGCTGCCATTTCGGCGCAAAGCAGCTAAAATCAACCACAATAACCATCTCTGCCCTCACAGGTACCCATTTACTTCTGGGTGGAGAGAAGCAATGTGTGACAAAGTGCCTTGCCAAAGAGCACACGCACCGTGACTTGACTTGGACTCGAACCCACAACCTGCAGCTTTACCCACAGACCACGAATCCAATGCCCTTAACCACGAGGCCACAGCACTCCACTCCATTCAGTAGGTTACTTTTGGGATTACAGCAAAAGATCCTAAATACCCTTAAGGAATTGTATGTCTTGATGATATCAATTCTATTTGGATTTTGTGATGGGCAAAACCAATATTAACATGTCCAGTCCCCAGTAAGGCAGTCTTACCTTTACCGCCGCAGCATACAATGAATGGAATCATCTTGTCAATCTGGCCTCGGCACTGCACACATTTCTTCATCAAGCTAGCACAACCTGGTCATTCAACAAATTACAAATGTTGGATTTGAAATCAAAAGTCTCGCAGAGTCTAATTCCGTTGTTCCATGATGCAACAAACTCATAAAGCTTGAACAGGCATGCAACTGGGAATTTGGAAAAAACGAGGAAACTCCAAACCACACCAGACTTTGTACAGTGTTTTTCAATTTGTAATGGCATTCATGAGAAGTAAAAAACGAGGAAATCAGCAGATCCAAGGAAAAGTTGCATGCCTGCTTGAAGAAGAGTGAATAACAAGTAATTTGTGGAAGTTTCAGCTCAGTGGATACAATGTATTAGGAGAAAACAGAGAAAATTAAGGCACAATTTTTGGAGTCGCGTAGCTAACACTGCCCTGAACTATGTTGTACACTTACCATCACAGGCGCACATGTGACTGCACGGCTGGAACAAAACCGACGCTTTCTTATCAGAACAGACAACACATTCCTCAATCTGTAGAGGGAAAAGATGGGCAAAAAATGGTATTAAAGATTTGCCACGATGTCAAAAATTCATGTTCGCTTTTGGAAGGAAGAGATTTCACACCCATTCATAATTAGCTAAGACAGTTTACCCATTGCCATTGGTCGAGAGCCTGTCACGTGGCCGGTCTTAAATGGATGATAAAGACATGGCTGGCTGGTCTTAAACACTTTTCCAGTGTCACATGAAATTTGGACTCCTATGAAATCCAGTGCCTTTCACCCTTTTAGTGGTTGAATGCTCACAATCCTCACGTACGCATGCGCAATACCACCAGTGAGTCCATTATTTCAAAGTCCTAAATTCATAACCCGCTCACCAACTCTTACTCGCGAGCTGGACACTCCATTATATAGCTAAGGGGCGTTTTGAAAATTATGAAGTGAAATTGTTGAACATAATCGTTGGACATTTTTAAGTTTTGACTTGTTTTGACTCTTGGAACGAAAAGTTTGATTTTTTTTGACCGAAAAAGAATTTATGAATGGGTTTGTAACAAAAAAATATTGGGAAAGGGGTTTTTATTATAAGAGGAACAAAGTTTGACGGAAGAAAATGTACCTTTGTCCTGGACTGGACCTGTTCCTTGCATATCAGACATTTCTTGACTCTCGGTGAACACAGTGAGCATGTGGCAATATGACCACACGGTCCAAACAACGTGTCTCTCTTCATGTCCGAGCACACCATACATTCCTCCAATGGTTCCTGCTCCATACAGGAGATGATGCGAAGATTGGTGTTCTCCTGGCTACAGACATTGAAAAAAAAGAATTTTTAAAAGTGTTAGTGATGTATTCAAATCACAAGTCTGCTAACATATGGGGTGTCCCAAAAAAATTATGCAAGCAGATATCCTTTAATTACTCAAAAACTGCTGAACATGAGTACTTCATCTTGAGGAAGCATATTAATTATACTCTTGTGTATACTCAGTAAAAATGCCATGGAAATCCGTTCATGCAAACCAGAGATCTAACAGATTGTAAAAGGCTATGGGTTTTTCTGCCCATTCCAATGGGATGGGATTTACACACTTTACACAGTGGAAACTTTTTTTAGCAGACGAGGCATCTTTATTGTCCACAACATTCTCCAGTTCGGCATCATTGAGCCCGGGAAAACACTGATTAACATTTACATGTGCCGCCATCTTTTCATGTGTAGCTAGGGTGATGTTCGCGCGCGCGTACTACACCCGTGCGATAGTTCCACAATTGCTTCATAAAGCGCATGCCTAGTAGACTATCGCACGGGTAACCCGTGCAACAGTCTACTACGCATGCATATTTACCCTGTGCGTGAATACTCCAGTGCACGCTTGGTAAACAGCAAAAATAGCACCTGGCACGTGATGGTGAATTAGCAAGTGAGAATTCAGCTCTCGATCATGAATATGTATGAGGTATAGTAATTCTTCAAATACATTGTGTGCCATATTAAAAGAATTAAAAGAACTACAGAAAAAATTGTCGCGTCAGTGCAACAAGGTCGTAACTCGATTCTGCAACAAAGTCGTATCTCGCATGAATACGCTCCGTGCAACAAGGTCGTAACTCGATTCTGCAACAAAGTAGCATCTTGCACGAATACGCTCCATGCAACAAGGTCGTATCTCGCGTATCGCGATGTCCATTGACCTCGTGTGTACATCCCAGTTATTTTAAGCAAGATACGACCTTTTGACATTGAAAACTTGCATTTCGCGTACATGACGTCACACACCATTTTAGGAGATATGACCTTGTTGTACGAACACAACAAAATGGTGTGGTCTGGGTGACCCCAACTTACTAAGTTATGACTGGCAATTATACATGCGTCTATGGACATGGCTGGCTCCACTTGCGTGTTATTGCTAGCCATATCCTAGTCCTTCAGATACAGTCTAATCAACTTTCATAGTATGACAAATGTTGATGACAAATGGGCCTACCAGTTGCTATCTGAGTGACACTTGGCCAGCACCCTGCACAGGTTGGGGTCGGGGCACAAGTCCATCGGCGATTGACCTTTCTTATTCTTAGCGTTGAGGTCGGCTCCGTTGGCTGCCAGGAAACATGCAATAGAGGCACTGCTCTTCTTGTCGCCTGATTGGTTGCCAAGGCCCATCAACAGCTGGCAGGAAAATTAAGATAGCCACGGGAAAAAAATTAACAAATTGTCAAATAAACCGCAAGGCGAAACTGACAATGTACATTTGTTGTAGTTATAAAATTGATCAGACAAAATTGACTGGAGCGGGTTCGAACCTTTGACTTCTGGAACATCGTACCAGTGAGCTATCTAGCCCTAGTGAGTAGAGCACCGATCTGGCACTGAGGAGGTCTCAGGTTCAACCCTGCTACAGTTAATTTCGTTGTTCAATTTTACAATAGACCTTTCTCAGGGTACGCCATCTTGAAAATCAAAGCGAGGCACATAATGCAAACAAACAGGGCGGCGTAAATAGTGTGTGCGGTGAACGAGTGACTCTCGCAAAGCTACGGTAGATTGACACTCTTATAAATGGATGGATGGCTCGAGTTCCCCAAACATCAATCTGTATTCGAATTAGGTCATGTCTCATTGTATTTTGAAGAAGGATCTTATAAATATAAAGCCCAAAACCAGTGGCCAAACTGAATTTTCTGTTTAAGTTAACTTTTTCTCATACCCTTTTTTCTAAAAAGGGGTGTAGGAGTAAAGATTTGACTCATGCACAAAGTGTCAGGGGTTCGAATCCAGCTGCTGGCCATATGTTGTGTCCTTGGGCAAGCTACATCACCTTCATTTGCCTTTCTCCACCAATAACACATGGGTACCAGGACTAGCCAGGGAGTATTATCATGTTGCGGCCATCTTGATATTTTTCAATTCAAATCAACGTAACCAAAGCAAGGCTGGAAGGAAAAATAGTCTGGTTCCTTTTTGCACAAAAAACTTTATCATTCAGTACTGTTATTGGATACAGGGAACATGATCGAAATGGTGGCAGCATGATAAAGGTCTATGGACTGGCATCCCATCCAGAGGAATCAAAATACATTCTCAGACGCTGTGTGTCAAGGAAACTGAAGATAAACACTGGCCTTATCAGCGATATCTTTTTGAGATCAACTTGACTTTCAACGAAACAATCAGAGGAGAAAAATGATTGTAAAAATCCTAAGAGAAAACCCACCTTGCCAACATCTTGCATGTCCTGTAGCTGTCGTAGCTGTGAGAGAGTGTGGTGACGAAGTGCCTCGTGTAATGGTGTATCACCGTCTTTGTCAGGAATGTCCAACTTAGCCCCGGCCCTTACCATCAACTGAGCAGCACAAACACAAACAAGATTGAAAAATGCAGTCAATTAATATATGATGCACACTATGCTACACACAATGCATATGTAATGACATGTACAATTATTTCTGTTCCTCACAGTGCTTGCACGACAACTGCAAGCTTGTTTACGAAAGACTGTACGTGGCAAAAGATAGGGTCTATATTTAGTTGTGAAAATTACGAGCAAGGAAATTAACATTGTTGTCTTTATATTTTTTTAATCAACCAGTCAGGACAATTGCGCAATTCAAGGAAAACAGATGTCCATCCATGCATCATATGGTGTTTCCAATTACTGCAAACCAAATCTGTTGCCACAAAAGTCATTAAAAAAAACCTGTGAGACTATTGAAATAATTAAAATTGGCACGAAAAAGCGAAAACTAACTAGTCTTGCTAATGTCAATTATTTTTTTAAGGATTAAAATATAACAATTGTCTCCTACTTTATTAGAGCTCTGCTATTTTTTTTTAAATTCACTGCGTCATACTGCAGATGTTAAGAAGTCTGAACGCAAGCATAGATATTCAAATATGTAATTGGAAATATCGTAGAAATTGAAATGTCAAAGCTTAATGACTCCAACTAACTGACATATCGCTCGGACAATTTCTAAATATCACTTGGGGCCAATGAAGGGACAAATCCCAACAGAAAAAAATATAATGTCATTTTTATTTCAGATGAGGAATGACAAATATCATAATGGCTAAAATTAACCAATTGGGACCTTTGGAATTGTCAAGCACACAAAAAACAGCAGTTTATGGGGGGGGGGGGGGGGAATGCTTGATTGTTTGTTATTTCCTTGATTTGACTTTCTTAATAATCAAGAAAAGGTTCTCTAGAGTGAACACAAAAGTGAATTTCTGAATAACAATTATTTTGGTCGGCAGTATTCTGTGTCTTGCTACTCGGTATACTGCAGCAGCTATTTTTACACGTTTATGAGTTCACGCCTGACATACAGAAAAAAATCCATATATGCCATGAATTGGCAGTAAAGCTTCACAAGCTTTTCATAAGTACAATTTCCACGTTTCTTTTTTAGGTTGCCTGCATTTGTTTCCAAAAGTATTAAGCAAACTAGAAAGGAATATAACTGTCAAAAATGAGGAATTATCTAAACAAAATATGATGCCTCTCCAATTAAAAAAAAATTAACCAAAATGAGAACAGAGAATGGTCATACTGGACTAAAAAACATATTGTTGATGTACTATAACGTGGCGCATTTTTTTTACCTGTAGCGCCTAGCTAGAGCAAAAGTTTTTTTTTCACAGAAATTGAAATTTCATCAAGTTCTAAATAGATTAATACTCAAGTTCATCAATCGCGAGTTTATCTACCCGTTACAAAGTTGGAAGAAATATGTTTTTTGGCTAGGTTTTCTGATTTTATTTCGAAGAGCACAGTGAAACCTTTGAAAAATTCCCCGAAAAAGAAAATAATTTTCAGACAAACTTCTGGTTGGGTATGTAAGTAGAGATAATAATGGTTTATCAGAATTTATCAACTTTACAAAAATTCCTAAATGCTAATTTGGACTTTTCTGAGATTCATTCAAGTGCGCCACATTAGGGAACACTTAGCCGATTCTGTGCCCAATTTCCGGACGCCACTGTTTTTTCATTTCGGATTAAATTTCAGAACACCGAAATTGTTCTCAGAGATTTAATAGCAAGCATTAATAAGGTAAAAGTACCAGTATCTCACTGAATGAATTTGAAGTTTGTCAACAAAGAAGTTTGGCAACTCTACCCAAGGAAAGTTGGGGTAAACGTCGAAGTGTGCCACGTTAGGGAATACCACTATACAAAGAACTGGGTGCTTGACCTGTTTGCTTTGATGAAAGCTTAATGAACAAATGAATATGGCATTTATCTTCTGCCTTGTTTAGGAACAATTTCTGGCTTGAGTGAGCCCTCTAGAGGCTGATCAGAGTAAGGCTTCTATGAAGCTAATACTCAGGTTCTGATCATAAACTACTTTGATCAATGTGACAATCTCTTCCTTATATCCTGAATCTGTGCTATGAAACTAACTCAAGTTTTTGACAATGTAGTTTCAATAAAAAACACAAAACAATAGATTTTTAGAAGTTTTATAGAAGAAAGTTAAACAACGGAATGAACTGCAAATTTTAAAGGAATCCTCATGAGGAACATGGTACATTTTTGTAAAAGTTAAGAGAAATTCCTGACAACATTACAAGGAATTAAATTTTGCATGCCATTTTCTTCATGAAAATTGTCTGCAATAATTTGTCTGTAAATTGCCTCTCGTGTCATGGCCTTAAACAGTCACATTTTTGTGGAATTTTCCATGTTTCCTTTTTGATTTAACCAATTTCTTTCAATTAAATTATTCTTTCAATATGAAATACAGGGTGAGTCAAAAGAAGCGAAACCCAAATGTCGGGACCATTGTTTTAGTGAAGTTCCGCATGTAGCACTTTCAAAATCTACGATATGAAAGCCCAATCCATAAGCTTTCTTTTAGTACAAGAATCATTCAGATCACTCATGTCAGTACCTTTGAAATTAAACAGAATTTTAAACACAACCACTGTTTTAAAGTTCTGTCCACGGATCACAAGAAAGGTATGCGTTCTTTCAGCAAAATGAAAACAATTCACACACATACCTATGTGATTTGGTTTTGTTCTGCTGAAAGAACACTTACCTTCTTGTGATCCGTGGACAGAACTTAAAAACAATGGTTGTGTTTGAAATTTCGTAACTTGAAAAGTACATGAGTGATATGAATGATTCTTGTACTAAAAGAAAGCTTATGAATTGGGCTTTCATATCCTAGATTTTGAAAGTGCTACATGCAAAACTTCACTAAAACAGTAGTCCCGATATTTGGGTTTCGCTGTTTTTGACTCACCCTGTATTGTAAGATATGAAGGTTGTGTGACAAAAGCAGTAATAAATGCAAGTTTGCATGGACACCAAGCGACTATAAAACTCTTTTATGAGTTATTTGTCCCTGTCAATATTTCTACAGAGAGACAGCGTCTGAGAGACTCACCCTCACGATCTGCGTGTGCTGCCTCTCAACGGCAAGATGAAGTGCTGTCTGTTGATTAACGTTCTGGATATCCAAGTTAGCATGACCCTGCAAGCGGCAGTATAAGCATGGGGTAATTCAAACAAAGACAATGATACAAAAATAGATCCTTTTTATAGTTCTTGGGGGGACAAAAGTTGACTGAGCTGACATGACCTGAGGTAATTGGCAACACCTGTCGTACTCTAAATACAATTTATCTTTCATCAGTCTGAATTTCAAACACTGATAACTTGACATCGAACTTGTACAACAACCCAAAATGCACCTGCAATAACATTTAATCCAAAACTGGGGAGAACTTAGCTTCATTCAGTGTGGATGTTATTGCAGTTTTTATACAAAAAAGAAGTTGGGAGAATTTAGTTGTCTATTTAAAATTGGTGTTCCAATATGCTCTACTACACTCCCTAGATCAAAAGTGTAGGGGTAGATCAAAAACATTGTTCACTATAATCACAATTGAAAATTATAATGTTGAGTTGACCTAGGTTAGATGTAATGTTGCAAAACGGAACCGTCTCTGCAATTGACAAAGGTTAAACAATCTGGAGATTACTATTCAAAATAACTAAAGTGACAATTGTCGAACTCCTTTGTACAGGGAATCAAATTGTTCTGAGTCAAAGTCATAATATCTTTTTTTTCATGTTCTTTTTTATGTTAAACTCACATTAATTTTATTTTAATTGATTTTAATTTTGAGCGAGCCAAGAGTTCCTCAAGGCTGCACGGGCACTGTATAGTTCAGCAGCTGAAGGAAGCAAGACAGAAAATTCAATAAAGAAATGTTCACATGCAGGTGGAAGAGAAACCCTGCAAAGTCATTCCAGGGAAAACCCACAAACTTGTGATGGACTTGTGATGGTTTTGCGATGAACTTGTGACGAACTTGTGATGGAATTGTGATAGGCTTGTGATGGACTTGTGATGGGATTGTGATGGACTTGTGTTGGACTTGTGATGGCCTTTTGATGGAGTTGTGATGAATTTGTGATGGACTTGTGACGGACTTGTGATGGACTTGTGATGGGCTTGTGATGGTTTTGTGATGGTTTTGTGATGGGCTTGTGATGGACTTGTGATGGACTGGTGATGGACCTGTAATGGACTTGTGATGGGCTTGTGATGGATTGTGATGGACTTGTGATGGACTTGTGACGGACTTGTGATGAACTTGTGATGGAGTTGTGATGGAGTTGTGATGGACTTGTGATGAACTTGTGATGGACTTGTGATGGGCTTGTGATGGACCTGTGATGGGCTAGTGATGGACTTGTGATGGGATTGTGATGGACTTGTGACGGACTTGTGATGAACTTGTGATGGAGTTGTGGTGGAGTTGTGATGGAGTTATGATGGAGTTGTGATGGGCTAGTGATGGACTTGTGATGGGCTTGTGATGGACCTGTGATGGGCTAGTGATGGACTTGTGATGGGCTTGTGATGGGCTTGTGATGGTTTTGTGATGGTTTTGTGATGGTTTTGTGATGGACTTGTGATGGGCTTGTGATGGACCTGTGATGGGCTAGTGATGGACTTGTGATGGGCTAGTGATGGACCTGTGATGGGCTAGTGATGGACTTGTGATGGGCTAGTGATGGACTTGTGATGGACTTGTGATGGGCTAGTGATGGACCTGTGATGGGCTAGTGATGGACTTGTGATGGGCTAGTGATGGACACGTGATGGACTTGTGATGGGCTTGTGATGGACCTGTGATGGGCTAGTGATGGACTTGTGATGGGCTTGTGATGGTTTTGTGATGGTTTTGTGATGGACTTGTGATGGGCTTGTGATGGACCTGTGATGGGCTAGTGATGGACTTGTGATGGGATTGTGATGGACTTGTGACGGACTTGTGATGAACTTATGATGGACTTGTGATGGACTTGACTACATCTCTGATCCAAATGTCGGCTGGTGGGATTCAAACCTGGGTCACTGAGGTAGCAGGCAAAGAAAGTACCACCAAACCGACCGAACTCCCCAAATGTTAGAATTAGATAAGTCTGATGATTACCTGATTGACAAGCAGCTCAGCCACCTCAACATGGTTATTGAGTGCAGCCAGGTGCAAGGCCGTATAGCCATCATCTTTCTTCTCATCAACAATCCAGGGTCTCGGAAGACAGCTCAACAAGATCTTCATTGCACTACAGAAAAAGTAGAAAAAAAAACAGCAACAAATTAGATTCTGAGAAGCATCGCAAGAGCATGAAGGATGTTTTCGAAACCACGGCTTCATCCTACGCTTAGCCTTCATCTCTGGTGCCAGTTTTATTTTGAAGCCTTATTTCCAAACTATATTGGGAACACTCTAAACTTTAGGCGCCAGTATTATTTTGAAGCCTTATGTCCAAACTATATTGGGAAAACTCTAAACTTTGGTTTCATATCAGGGCATCCCTTTATAATTCTATGGTTGTCATACTTTTTGGGCTTTGAAGTGTGATAAGTGCGTTGGCGAAGGGAACAAATTACTTCGCATCCGTGTAGATGCCGCAATAGCATGTAGCAAAGTACATACGTGTGGAGCACCGTGGCCTCGTGGTCTGGAGCATTGAATTCATGGTCTGCGGGTAATTCTGCAGGTTGTGGGTTCGAGTCCAGCCTGGGGCTATGGTGCATGTTCACCTTGGCAAGGCACTTTGTAACTCATTGCTTCTCCCCAACCACAGCTACAAAGCACCCTGAACACTTCCACACCTTCAATGTGAGTAGTGTTTAGTCACAAAAAGTTTTAATGCACATAAAGTTGTTTATAAAAAAAACAAGCCCGATTGGAAATATCTCGGAAGCTGCGGGCCAACGAATTTGTGTTCATGCATGAGTCATGTGATTGTGCCATGTAATTTCTGGAAGGAGTAGTGTTTTGAATTAAAAAACCCCAGGTTTTTGACCATAGTGACCCCATATGACCTTTGACCCCAGTTTGGTCATGTGACACATTGGGGCTGGGCTACTGATACTTTTTGACAAAGTTTGGTTGAAATCAGTCAAAATATGTAGGAGCAATAGACAATGTCAACGTTTGTTACTAACTAACGGACTAACGGAGAGACATGATGATTTGTTGAACTGCTATCCCGCAGCTAAAAATACAAAATACAAATCCAGTCAGAAGTCGTGTCTCTCCTGGGCATTTCAAAACACCTGAAACATCTCTTGTTGTTGTTGCTATTTTGAACAAAGGAACTAATCACATGCAGGAACCATGATCCTTTATCTACACAAGCCAATGCTTTCCTTGAATGTCTAAAATACCCTACAGGTAGGGAGAAGTAATTATCTACCCAGGGGTAGATTACAACCAAATCCATAAGCACAGGCCACACCCTGATCGTGACAACCTGGGGAGGGGGATTGAATCTTGAAATTAATTTCATTGCTGTCTTTAAAAGCTAAGTCTTTACAACCATCGATGCGAAACGATTGCAAAATACAACCACAGGTATTGTTGTTTCCAATAATCACACACATGTGAGATGTTCTGGCAAAATGAGACCTAACTGGGCACAGGCCGTAGTGGAGAAAAATGCAAAAATCTGAATCAGGGTCACTTCTTTTTCAATTTTCCAACTGATTGATATTTGTAATCTTTGATATGTCTACTACACGGGTTTTACAGAAACCAAAAATCGTGGAATTAAAGTGCTTTTAAGGAAAAACAATTGGCATCTTTTATTTTCACGACTACAAAACAGGAGAATTTACAGGCCTTTTTCTCAGTATTTTACTTTTTTGACAGGTTGATAAATGCGAACTTTAAACAGCCATAACTTGTCCGATTGAAGTGCAACAAACAGTATTGTAAGGAGAATTTATTCTCTTTCCTAATACCTGCAAACCCTCATTCTGGCCTCTCCCCAGTTCGGTCTCATATTACCAGAATGCCTCACATATTATTTTATCATCAGTTAATTATAAGGGCACGTGTGGTCTAGCGGTGGAGCACAGGATTCATGATCATGAGGTTGTGGGTTCGAGCCCCGTTTTGGCCATACATGTTGTGCCCTTGAGTAAGGCGCTTTACCTCAATTACTCCTCTCAACCCAGGTGTTAAATGGATACCGGCATTATTCAATGCTGGGAAGGTAACAGACTCGCTGTGGAGGAGGTGTGGTGATCCCCCACAGCAGCATATGAGTCTGGCCCAATCACTTAGGAAAGAGAGATGGGCAATCAGTTCCTGTTAACACAGGTTCGTCCCCTTTACTTTATTATGGTAAAGTATCTTGCCCATGGACTGTTTCTCCGAATGAAAATCTGCAAAAGCTATTTGACAGAGTTGAAATGGAGTCAGTCACCTGTCAATCACAAGACGTCTTGTCTCAAGTCAAGTCACAAGCTATTAAAACGAACTGAGACAAAGGCACTCCTTAGTCATTCGTCGTCCACCGTTACTTGTAACTTGTCTTGTAATTTGTCTTGAGATGTGACTTGTGATTAACGCGATTACAACTCTCCTATTTGACTTTAGTATTTTAATTGTCATAGAAAGAAAACATGAACCCTCCTGCTATTTAAACAGTCACAGACAGTCAAAATTTCCATCCACTTCCTCTGCTTTACTTTTAACACAGGCTAGTCACCAGCAGTCAGATCATATGTCAAGCAAGCACTGTGACTAGTCAAACTCAGTCAACAGATCATGAACAGACAAGTTGGGGCACAGCTGGCTTATCAACTACCCACAGTCAAAGTAAAGCTGTCTCGAGTTACATTAACAGTCACAGCCAGTCAATCCTGCTTTTTGTAGGCTGGGAATTCTTAACTGTTGCAAACAGTCACTTGATTGATTTTAACTGAAAGGACAACTTGGCACATATTTATGTTTGCATGGAGGTTAATGAATATCGTCCCTCCCTCCAGAAAAGAACACCCCAAAAACAACACAAATTGAAAAGACAAACAATTAACAAAAAAACCCGAAGAAAAAATCACTCAACAATTCTTCACCCCATTTATTTCAATTTGGAGATCTGAACGCCTGACGGCACAAATTCTGCCGCACAGGAGACACTGTGTCTGCCCAGGTCAAGGCCAATTTGGTTGATCCATCTTGAAGAAGACATCAACATTGACAGCTGGCTTTCTCATTCTGAAGGAGGATGTTGCGATGAAGCAGATGAAGCTAAGATGATGCGCTGAGATGGGGGCAAACTTACCCGACAGGATTCATCTAATATATTTGATATTTTGATCCAGATTTATGATTATGGAAAACTCTATTATTTCAGCATTTTTTTGAGGAGTACTTATTTGCTGATAAATAAATAAATAGTAATTTTTTTATCTTATTAAAATCAGTAAAATACATATGAAAAAATGAGTACACATATCAGCTTAGGTTGCAGTGTGTTTGTAAAGATGCATATCAATTTTGTTCTGTGAATATATTTTCAACTTGTTATTCCAACCCCAAAAATCTCCTATTTTGGGCACCCGCTGCTAAATGTACATCAGATTCGAACCAGCCAACCGATCCCGCAAGCTCGGTAGTCGAGTGGTAAGATGTCTGCACTAGAAAGCAGGAGGTCGTGGGTTCGATTCACAACCGAGTGAAGGGGAAAACCTAATTTGATTTACATCATCCCGACGCAAATTCCATCTTGTGAATAACTGTTGTATTGCTAGAAAAATAGCAATTTAGAAAGAAAGCCACATCTATTTTGAGGATAAAACCTAAAAATAGAATGGGAAATCATCAGTAAATGCTTCACTTCAAAAGGAATTTTAAAAAAAGAAAAATAGTAAAGACGAATAACATTAAAATAAAGACTTAACAATTTGGATATGAATGACAAAGGGAAATGTCTTCAGATGTGAACTGAGAAATCTTTACGAAATAAACACCAGGCCTTGAACTTCCATTTGCTAGAATGTCCAATAATGGCCCGTAAGTCTGAAATGCAAACACTATTAGATTATCCAGAGAATCTTAAGTGACGGCATTTGAATAGAGTCTTCTTAGGCCTGATGGCGGCGCACGTTCACACACAATGGTCACATTCAATGCAAGAATGGTCTTTGTTGTCAACAGGACAATGCACCATCATGTATGAAGGGAATCACTCAAATCATGTTCACCAATGTTACAGCCGGGAAAAAATCATAAAGCTGAATCTATAGTTCCATATTTACTAAAGATTCTCAGATGTGAATCCACACTTTTTGTGCCCATACAAAACCTCACATGGGTTGGGTTTACTTTAAGGCATTTGATGGAATTTAAATCTCCATCTATCATACAGGGTGAGTCAAATAAAGCGGAACCCAAACCCCAAAATTATATTTCATGTTTAAAAAAAATATATATAGCACCAAAAAATAATAATGACTGGAAAGCCAATTTCATTAACTACTATTAGATGAAAAACTTACTGAAATTACTCAGTCCGTTTAAACACCATTTAAACACAATGACCCTAAAACCTCCTTCGTCCAAAAAGGCGATTTCAAGAATCATCGTCACAATTGTCTTCAAACATCACCAGCGATAAAACCTCAGTTAAAAAGTTACAAATATTCAACAAAGTCCTTTTGAAGGCCCGTCTTTAAAAAAAAGTGGATTTTATAAATCATATTGTTTGCCTAAGCAGGGTTGTTAATAAAGATATTGTGTACTACAGTTGTTGGCAGTTGATGAAACAAGTATTCTGTGTCATTTTCTTTGTTGTTCCAAATACAAAATAAATTGCTTTTTTTACTCATCAAAATGAATAAGCACTGTACTGACATTTTTATGATACTGCAAGTTTTACTGATACATGTAACAACTTGATGTATGCGTCCTTTCTGAATTAATTACATCAATTACGGCACACAGAAAACAATGAGCACATCTTGTGATTGGCTGACTAGTGAATTTCCTTTTTGGAAGAATCCATTTCAAGCCACGGGGGAGGAGCTCTGCAGTTGACTTCAAAAGTTCCGATTCGGAAGCATCGATTTCAAGAAATGGGTGAGGAACTTGACGTCTGACTGTAAAAGTCCTTATTTGGAAGCATCCATTTCAAGCCATGGGGAGAAACTCTGCAGCTGGCTTCATAAGTTCATATTTGAAAGCATTTATTTCATCCTAAAGACATGTCTAGTGAATCACTCCTAAATCAGTCATCAATGAAGCAATCCACACATAAACACCCCTATGATTTGAAGATGAATCCTTCCTTATC